TGGCACAGACACAGTATTTTAAGCGACATGATGGGGTGGCTCGATCATTTTATTACCGTCTTCGCCATGCTTGTGGTTTTGATACAGAGGTCCATCCATGGTACGACCCGGAATATGTAGAGGGCGCCATGGAAAATGATAAATACAAAATCCTTTGGAATAGGCCCGTATACAGCCTTAGACATATCCAGGCCAACAAACCTGATCTTGTCCTTTTTGATAAATCCAATGAAATCATTTATATCATTGAATTTTCTGTCCCTTCTGACAGTAATGTGATTGACAAGATTGAGGGAAAACATGGCAAATATGCAAACCTCGCTTTCGAAATGTCCCGCTTGTATCCCAAGTACCAAGTTGTCCGAGTCCCCATTGTTCTCGGTGACTTAGGTTTGGTACCTCCCAATCTGTTGGCTGACATTGGGAGAGTACCCGGGTTTGCTACCAGGAATACAGCCCTTCAGACAATCTGGGTAATGCAGAAGTCTGCAGTGTTGGAGAGTCTTCACATTCTCCGAAAAGTTCTGGGTGGGTTTGACTAGGCAGCGCTTCCTGAGAGAAGTCCCATTCAATGTCTCGGCTGCGTGTAGAGGGGGCAAGGGCCCTGAGCTGATGATAAGCCTAACCAGCCTGACTGTGCCAGGATCACCCAAACTCTCTTTGCTGCATTTAATCTGTAAATAATAATAATAATAATAATAATAATAATAATAATAATAATATTGCGCTAGCCTCCATGTAGCAGTTCATGCTCAAAGTGCTACATTCAAATGTCACTCTGGAAAACTTTTTTGAACAAATGTGTCTTTAGTTTTGCTTTGAATGTCTGAAATGTTGAGGAAAGTCTTATCTCTAGTGGAATATCATTCAAACACTTTGGGGCAGCCTCCTTGAAAGTCTTTAGTCCATAGCTGGAAAGTCTATACTGAGGAACAGATAGCAGGTGTTGATTTGCTGATGGAAGAGTTCTTGGTGGATTATGAAGCTGGAGCAGAGTGGAGAGATAAGCTGGAGCCTGTCTTTTGACACACTTGTATGTCAAAGACAGCATTTTGTACATGATCCTTGACTCAACCGGAAGCCAGTGTATATGCTTGAGGACAGGAGTGATGTGTGGCGTGCGTGATGGCCTTGTCACAATCCTGGCTGCCGTGTTCTGCACTAACGGCCTAGCGCTTGCTTTGAAACCCCACACAACAAACTGTTTCCGTAGTCTAGCCGAGACAACACCAAAGACTGAATCAGGTTCTTAGCCGCGTTTGTGGTGATGTGGTTCCTTATCTGACCAATGCATCTTAAGTGAAAGAAGCATGATCTGCAAAGCTGGTTCACTTGGGCATCAAGGTGGAGTTTGAGTCAGTGATTTTACCTAGATTTTTCACTTTGTCCATGAAGTCAATCTGCGATTGTCCGATGGTAATGTTTGTCTCTGGTACAGTGCATAGTTGATGTTTCGTTACAGCTAGTAGGGTTTCGGTTTTGTCGTTATCCATTGATGACATCCACGACTAAATGTCAATAGAGCACTCAGTAATGTGACCCAGTGATACTGATGTTTCTGTTGCTTTAAATCCATTGAGCAGTTGTGTGTCGTCTTCAAATGACTGCTGGTTAAGTCTATGAATCTGTATAACCAGCTGTTGACTGTTTGTATACACAGCGGCCAGCGGACCTAGCACTGATCCTTGTGGAAGTCCACACTCCATGTTGAAAGTATCGGACTTCTGCTTTTAGTTTTTCATGGCCTGTGCCCCATGTTGCAACACATACGGTTCTTAGAGCATCTAGGTTTAATCTTTCCAGTGTCAATTCTTCCCGTATCTATACTACAGTAATCGAATATTGGGTATGGTAAATGATCTGTATATCATTTCAAGACTTTTCCAGGGGAGGTGATATTTTAAACTTTTAAAACAGTTTATCATCCGGCAGAAATATTTAATACAATGGTGTCCATAGGGGAATGTAAGTGTATATATTATGCATTTCAACTTTTATTACAATGATTCCATCCGTTTTGGAGATTTGGTTTATTTAATGGGACTATTTTACGGAAGAATGAGATATTTTCAATTTTCTCAGGCTAAACTTCATTTGTCACGTTTTCGCAGATTTGGATATCAATCAGATCTTCGTTTAATGCTGAAACTGCGTCGGCTGGGTTTTCAACAACGATGTACAAGGACGTATCATCAGCAATAGGTCTACTACTATTTATATTTTCAATTAAATCATTGATGTAAATCAAGAACAGTAGCGGTCCAAGTATAGACCCTTGTGGTACTCCAACCAATACAAAGTTTAATTCAGATTTACATCCGATCATAACTACTCCCTTGTTTTCTATCCGTTAAATAACTTTTGATAATGTTTCTTTAATACCATATGTCTCTAGTTTGTTTAATAATCCACGGTGCCAGTCCCAATCAAAAGCTTTACTTAAATCACACACAAAATGCCCTTACTGCCTTACCACCATCAACGGTTTTTACAATACATGCATACAAACAGATCAGTTGGTAAGTCTTTAAATCACTAGGAATAAAACCCGACTAGAGATTACTTGTAAAAATGGTCATTGTTTCATTGTGGATAGGAGAATGTGTAAGGGTTAAAAAGGGTTAAGAACAGTTTTGCTTTGCCAAGAACGTATGCAGGCGACCATCGCCGTGAACGGAGGCTTTGTTGGTCAAACACATTTGTCAGATACCCCATTTGTCAGGTATCCCATTTGTCAGGTATCCCATTTGTCAGAAATCCCATTTGTCAGAAATCCCACTTGTCCATAGACCCTATGATTTATGCGATGTATTGGCGTTTTCCTTTATGGCATAGTTTCCATGTCCTTATCGCCTTGACTGAGGTGGTCGGGGACTGACTGGTCTAATAAAGTGAGTATTACTACAATGGTTGTGCCCATTGATTTGATCATGAACGCCGATAGGATTGTCTGTCGGGTAGTTTTCTTTTAGGTTTGACAGCAAGTTGATAGAGTTGGTCGTCAATTGACCATTTTACTCTTATCAGAGGGGTACACAAACTATGTGATCCAGACTACCAGTTGTCGGACTTCCATTTTTGTGAAAGCCTCAGTGGCTGAGTGGGTTAGATCGCTGACTTGTGCTGGTGAGTAGGTGCCTCACTCTGCATGCGAGTGGAGATTCGAATCTCCGATACGACTCAAACCCAAAATTACTAGAATTTGTATCTTACTTATAAAATGTAATCCCAAATATAACAGTTGTTACATTTGACCATTTTCTCAAATTGTGTATTCAAATATATTCACAGTTTATGAAAAACGTACATTGAGAAAGTAATTATAAGTAGATCTAGTACATCACGATTGGGAAGATTTCCACGGCGACCGACGTGTAAATGAGACCGTTCATCACTTGCCTAGCTAACACCGTTAGAATATTTTGCGCAGTTTTCTTATATTGGAATATTGACATGTGCTTTTCAGTTGAAGGATTGGTATTCCAAGACAATAATGTACATATAGTTGAGTAAGGGAATGGAATGTTTTACATTGAGGAAGCTGTCAAACTGATTCAATGTTAAACCGCCTTTATAATATTTTAGCCTCACATATTAGAATCTCGAATGGTTCAAACAATAACATAAATATTAAATTTTTGGTTTGGTTTGTTTTTTAACGCCGCACTCGGCAATATTCCAGCTATATGTCGTCGGTCTGTAAATAATCGAGTCTGGACCAGACCATCCACTGATTGATACCATGAGCTTCGGTCAACGCAATTGGAATACAATGATATGAACCAACCAAGTCAGCGAGCCTGACCACCCGATCACAATTTTAAATTGTAAATGTTCCATCCAAGCTGTAGTTTAGCAAGGCCAAACGAAAAAAGGAAAGATATAATTACTAAAAACCATTTATGTTAAAGATGTTACACTTTCGAAGTTCAACACCAAGAAACTATTTTAGCTTTTGTGACCAATAAATCCATTACTTTCATTGACCTACGATCATTATCTATTTCAAACTTTTCCTTTTGTAGAATGGGCTGAAATGTTGAACTGTACTGGAAATAAAATTTTATAATTTGAAGTTTACACGATATACGGCTTTTCCATTGGACGAGAGGTCGATCACAGGACCGCGAAATTGACGTTCATAAGTGTATGAACGACACAATTTGACGTTCATACGTTTTTCACGAGACCGTGTTCTTGAAATGACGTAAACAGTGACGGACTACTTCCACATGCCTGGGGAAACCCCTGGGAATTCCCTAGCACGAAAACATACATAAGCGTTCTTTCGCAAGCTCCAACGTCCATACAGTTTGGCCCTGACTCTGAGAAGGATCATACTCCAATGAACTCACACAAAGTGAAAGTCAATTCTTAAATAAACTATCATGGATGTCCGTGAATGTACATATGTATATACCTCGGTGTAAATACACTTCAATAGTCGCATTTATAACACAATATGAAAGAAAACGTTGTATTTCTTGGACTGGTAATACAAGTACTGTATTTTGAGCAAAGGTCAAAGTAAGTGCGAATGTAGGTGTGTATGTTTTCTAGTGGCCATAGTGAAACAAGTTTGCTCAGAGTTTTGAGTACATGAACTGTATATTGTACATTGAGGACAACTTTAATCGAAGTAATTCATATTGTCGTAATTTTGTTTTCACTTCATATAGATATTATTATATTACTATTACTATATGTCTATTACATATTAGATATTACTTATAATTTCCAGCTAAATGCCAGGCACCATTGAGGGTTAAGATGACTTTCATAAAAGAAATTCATATGTTGTTTGGTAAGAATGCCATGTGTATATATTTTTTGTACCGATCCCACAATCATTGGCAAATGTTCATGTAAATATTCGGTTTGTTGCTAACTCCCAGGGTCGACAGAATTTACTTCATAATGGTCATAGATTTAGAATCAAGAACAGAAGAAACACTACTGTACATTGGTGTTGCTGCAGAAAAGACTGTCCGGACAGAATCAACACTTCAAACAGCTTTATTACAACTAATCGTGATATATACGATCCTGGAGATGCCAAGGATATTGTCATTCAAGAATTCCTCCCTAACCTGAAAACCAAAGTTCGGAGTGAGAGCAAGCCTGTTCTAACCACCCCAACATCTGCAAGTAGGTAGACATCAGGAAGGAACAGTCCAATGCTGAGACCTTCAGGCTTCTCAGTATTCTCAGTGAAAAGAATGAACGTATGACCGGCAGAAGACCTCCTGTTGAGTATACCGATACTGCGTCCTCCTTTGTTGGCCTGTAAATATGTGTGAAGATGCTTGTACATGTACACCATTAAATATGTTAACCGTCCATAACAAACCATGTCATATGACTGATTTCCAGATTGTAAGTTTCAGAACATGTAGAAGATGTGTGTTAAGTTAACCTTTAAATATGTTAATGAAATCAATAACCATATTCACATAATTGATTTTAATTGAATAGTATCTTAATATGCTTCTTGCAATGTATCTTATCGTGTATTATATCTGTACATTTGTAATGTGTTTTGGGGGAAATTAATAAACGTATACCTGATTTTCTGCAACAGACTATAGTTAATCACCCTATTGTCTCCCCATGTGCCAGGGCTGACTGCCCTTTTCCCCAGAACAATAGCGAGGGCACAGTGAGGTGTCCCCGTGGAGATAATGCAGCTGGTTCGGGCTTGGCTGTAGTGTTCTGAATGTTTGGATTTAACAATAACAACAATTTCATATTATGCGGTCTGGCAGATTGTGTCAGTGCCGCACGATGTTGGGATTTTATGTCCGCTTCCGTGAAGAGAGGCCCCTTGACTTTCGTCTTGGTCTTCAGTGTAAGGTATAAGTTCTCTGCATGTAAGATATCTTTAATACTACTAGTACATGGGAAATGAACAATATGTATAAATAAACATATATATATTGGTAATACATACGCTTTTTATGGAACACATGACCTATCTTAATAATGCATGTACATGTCGTTTATATTATTCATGAATTATTTATAAGACACAGATGCTGTTCATAGAACCCATACCTTTTTTTATATATTACACATGACTTATCATACATATAGATATAATTCTGTATTGCCTCGGGCTATTTATGTTTATGAATACATACCTAACCTGTTGGCATTGTCGATAATTACAACTGGTCCATCTGTGAAACGTGGCAATATTTTTCATGCTAACTTTCAAGTCTTTATACAGCAGTTATAAGAACTCTCACGGCACGTTACATTCCAGTATCTCCAAAATCTTCAACGCCGTTGTCAAAACTTCCAATGTGTTTGTCCATCACGTTAGGTCGAGGATGCATGATCCACATCTACTTCAAGATTGTCGATCAAAGTTTCAAATGAAATCATTTCGCCCTTGTTCGAGTAATCTACACTACAGGAGACTGTGCTTGACAAAGTCACATTTGCATACTGTGGTGGATATTGGTCTGCAACACAACGTGACGTGCGCTCAGGATATTCCTCTGCAAGTAAGTAGAGCTGTTGATGGTTAGAGGTGCACTCACTGTTTTCGACACGAGAGGTCTTCTCTTGTATCAATGTACTCCTTTCGGTCTTTATTTATTTACTAACTGCTATTTACTAGTTGTGACCACTGCACTTTCGAAGGAACTTTTAGACACCATTGTGTACTATATATATCAGTACTTCTAAATGGTTTTAAAAGCTATAGTTTTCATATACTGGTGAGAATCGGCTGAAGACATTTTGTCATACAATACTGGCACACTTCCACGTGTGAACACTTGTTTGCGCACTACACCACAGCCTAGAGAACATAATTGTCGAATAGTTTTAGAAAGGTTTTGTCAGTATGACTCTCTATAGTACATACATAGTACAATGTACATAGTCAATACCTCACATCCGATTTGAGTTTTGAATTTTGAGGCAGATACACCTCACCATACCTCACATCCGTACAGAGCTGAAGCCAGATACACCTCCCAATACCTCACATCCGTACAGAGCTGAAGGCAGATACACCTCACCATACCTCACATCCGTATAGAGCTGAAGGCAGATACACCTCCCCATACCTCACATCCGTACAGAGCTGAAGGCAGATACACCTCACCATACCTCACATCCGTATAGAGCTGAAGGCAGATACACCTCACCATACCTCACATCCGTACAGAGCTGAAGGCAGATACACCTCCCCATACCTCACATCCGTACAGAGCTGAAGCCAGATACACCTCCCAATACCTCACATCCGTACAGAGCTGAAGGCAGATACACCTCACCATACCTCACATCCGTACAGAGCTGAAGGCAGATACACCTCACCATACCTCACATCCGTACAGAGCTGAAGGCAGATACACCTCACCATACCTCACATCCGTACAGAGCTGAAGGCAGATACACCTCACCATACCTCACATCCGTACAGAGCTGAAGGCAGATACATCTCACCATACCTCACATCCGTACAGAGCTGAAGGCAGATACACCTCCCAATACCTCACATCCGTACAGAGCTGAAGGCAGATACACCTCACCATACCTCACATCCGTACAGAGCTGAAGGCAGATACACCTCACCATACCTCACATCCGTACAGAGCTGAAGGCAGATACACCTCCCAATACCTCACATCCGTACAGAGCTGAAGGCAGATACACCTCACCATACCTCACATCCGTACAGAGCTGAAGGCAGATACACCTCACCATACCTCACATCCGTACAGAGCTGAAGGCAGATACACCTCCCCATACCTCACATCCGTACAGAGCTGAAGGCAGATACACCTCACCATACCTCACATCCGTACAGAGCTGAAGGCAGATACACCTCACCATACCTCACATCCGTACAGAGCTGAAGGCAGATACACCTCCCCATACCTCACATCCGTACAGAGCTGAAGGCAGATACACCTCACCATACCTCACATAGTGTTATAATTCGTGTATTACCACCGCTCTCCCTCGGGAAATACAAGAATTTTGACACTCATTTCGTAAAATCAGTATGACACACATGCTCGTATAATAATCTCAGTACATTACATTGACAATTTGGTTGAGATAATAACATCTACATATTACTGAACTGGCTATTGGAATGTTCACGTTGCAAAGTTTCCATGAGATTACTTATTTTTTACGTTTTATAGAACACCAGTTTCTGACTTTTACTAACCATTTACACAAGCCTGTTTACTGATTGGAGTGGTGTCTTCAACTAGCTAAAGACGAAGCACTTTAGTTCCTTAAATTCTGACGCCACGTTCTGCTGAAATCCAGGAAACCTTACCTTGTCCATCTCCTTGAATGATGTAGGGATCTGTATGTTCTGCCTGAGAAGGAAATGCATAAAATCATATTTTCATAACTTGTTTCTTAGAGTGCTTCATGTCATAATCCTGTCAAACGTTTTTTAATTGTATAAAAAGGGCACAGTGTAATTCAGTGTCATGATCGTGCATGTTTGCATAAGTTCATGTAAAGATTGCCGTGGTAGCTCCACAGTGTGATCTGAACCCAAGTTGCAGAGGATGCATATAATTATATGGAGAAATGTGAAACTGTCAATGCCAAAAGCTTTTATAAAGTGTTGCTGTAATTTAATGAGTGTGTGTCCGCTTCCCTTAAAAGCGTTGTTTTGTCTCCGTGACATATTCTCTATACCGGTATGTGAGATGTGTTAAATATAGGCTATGGTGTTCTTTAAATAGATATATAAAACCACAATATCGAACATGTATATATAAATGGGACGTTATTAAAATTTATGTCACGTCTAAAATTTCAATGTCATTGTGGCTTATTTTGGTAAAAAGAGCTTTTTTATGAAATACACATGGTCTGTCTAAATAATGCATGTGGATGCTATATTTGTATTATTCATGTCGTATTAATATAATACAGCTGTTATTTATATAATCCAGGTCTTACTTATATATAACACGCGTATTACCTTACATATGTTATATCTTGTTCTCTACAACGTATGTTTGGTGCGTTATGTTTTCTATGCGTGGGTGCTATGTTTTATATACGTGGTTGGATTCAGTTATAGTAATACATCTTATATTTAACATTTAATGTCTTCGACATTTTGGTTATCTATGGCGCCTGATAGAAACACCTTGATGGTTGTGTATGCCAGTTCAGCCGCGACACCTGGGCCGCCCAAACCCTAGCCCAGGATATCCCCGTGTCACATATAATGCTGAATCCTGGTAACACCAGTACGGTTTATACCCTACAGAAGCTAACATTGCCTTATAAAATGTATGAATTATATCTGTAGTTTATATGTGTTACAGTCAATGTGTAAAATGACTGAAATGTCACTTTATTATGATAATTAATTCCAAACATTGTTATGCTCCATTTCATCACCAATTGACTGAAAATAATAGGATTGAAATAAAACGACAGTCAGTGAGTGTATATGGTTTTTATAATTCTAATCCTAGCATGATTAAACTATTGTGATTTTAAGGCCTTTTGAACTTCTTAATAACTTTTTATCAATCTGATGGAAAAATAATTGTGAAATGACTGAAATATTTGGGCATTTTGAAAAATGGGGTCTGAGGCCTTTGGGCTGTGGAAAACGTGCAGAAGTGATCAAGCACTTGCAGAAAAACGGGCTACCACTAAATGACATCCATGAAGATATGATTTCAACACAGGATGCCCTTTCCTATGCCACGGTAAAGAGGGGGCAGCGAAAGCCTTGAAGACGACCCTGCTTGGCATGTGATGTCGGCAACACCAACAATGATCCAGACATTCCACGGTATCGTGATGGCTGGCCTGCCAATGACTAAGCGTCATATTTTGAGTTCGAAGGGCATTCCACAGGAGAGGGTACATTCCATTATCAGAGAAACTTTGGCAATGAAGAAAGCATCAGCTCGCTGGACTCCAAAGCTTCTCACGTCTGATCACAAACGCAGCAAGCACAACATGTCTCGTGACAATCTAGCTCTGTTTGAAGCTGATGCTTAAAGGTTCTTGTACACGATAAGTGACTATGGATGAAACCCGCGTTCCCCACACCCAGCCCGAGTCCAAACAACAATCAAATCAGTGGAAGTAGTCTCCGGCCCACCTCTGATCCTAACCTTATGACATAATTAATAGTATCACGAAAGTCCGAATCACTGATTGTTTGGAATCTGCACTCGGAGTTTGGGACTATATGAGGATCGCAGTGCAGACGAAGTGGCCTTTGCTTTATTATGGCTTCAGACAATCTTCAAGGACTGTCACGCTCGATTACCGGGTGTATTACAGCCATCTATTATCATCATTATCATATCTCGTGTATTATATCTGTTGTCATTATAAAGTTGATTGCATAGGAAATTAGCAAGCATGTAGGAACTAAGTGAGGAAGGAGTAAGCTAGCCTATTATATGGTATCTGCTTATACTCCTCATAATAAAATAAAATCTCTCTTTTGTGTAAAACTCCTGAATGTCATTCAAAACCTTCATGTAAAGTAGAAACTATAGTTCAGTGGGTTATGCATGGCAGATCCTTGGTTTAACTACGTTGTGACTTATCGCTCATGATAAAATCTCGCCCACAAAGTGAAATAATACGTTGGTTATGGACTTTTGTTGCGTGCCAACTGACTGCCTCAGCGAAACAGTTAGCGAATACCAGTTTTCGGAGGTCCCCGAGTTCTCCCGGAAAAGGCCGATATTTCTCCGAATGAAAGGTGACCTGTTTCCGGTACCGCACAGCTGATCAGTGGAGATCGAGAGTGTTGTAGTTGTTTTTTGTTGTTGTTGTTGTTGTTTTGAGAAGCCGATTGACGATGCCACTTCGAGGTAATATATCAATTTAAAGATCCTTAACATAACAAGATGATTGTCACTTCTCTTCGCAAAAGATACGTTTGTTGTACATCGATTCAGAATCATCGCACCGACGTGCAGAAGTTTGCGAGAGCCGCGATTGGGTCAAGACTTGTCTTGATTGTCGGGCCCTATGGCAGCTCTCAGCTACTACAGCCACTATCAGGACCCTACTACAGGTAGCTCGGCCTTCGACTTCGTCTGCGAGTTTGTTAGTTACATGTTGTGGTGGCCTAGCTACCATAGAAACTCCAGTCGATCGTTTCGTAAAAATGATTTCCCTTTTTTCATGTTAGCAGCCTTTCTTTGGTTCATCATAAAGCGCTTGTGTAAATTTCCTTTTACTATTCTTCAAGTTTTTATTTTTTAGGCAAATTGCATATAATGCAACAGTTACTACTCACTCGGATCCCTTGTTGTCATCCTTGTTTCATGGTATAACCCTCCACCTGTGTATGTGTTGTCATTCACTTGATCACTTGTTGATGCTCAGTTAATGACTGTATTACAGGTATAATTAGTGGTAGGACTACTCACATTACCTGACAAGGACTGCAAATATGTCAATAACGTTCACCGCTGGCTATGTGGTGTCAAGGTAATAAAGCAATCAGTGGTTCGCATGGTGTCAGGGGTAATTATTTCATCTATCATTGGGTCATCTATCCAGATCTGATGTGGTGAATGTACTGCATGTTATGTAATATGCACGTTTCAGCACAGCCAGCAAGAGAGAAATGATTATTTGATTTGCAAAAAAACAGACCAAAGGATTACCGATAATACGATGATTGATTAAGCACTGCAACAAAACACATGTCAGTTTGGATGCAGCTCTTTATTGTATACCTTTGTTATGATATACAGTTTCTCATTCTTTGATCCTTGATAGGTGTCGCTTCTCGCAGCGCTGCCAGAAAAGCACTGAACATGAGTCGAACCGGTCTAAAATTATAGTCCATAATATGCAATTTTGAATCTGCAAATAAAATTACTAGGGGCTGAAGTGGTGCCTTTTGCTATTGTGGGGGGTCTGTTGATGACTCTTGTTATTCCTTGCCACAATATACTTTGTAGATAGTTGTGGGTTCTTTGGGTGTTAATTCATCATCATTCGTCATTTGTGTTGACATCAAACAGGGATGTGTGGTGTGCATCATGGCCTAATGTTATCATCTATTTGGATTTTTGACCCAGCTACAACCTTTGACCTTCATGTAATACAGTTTCATCTAGTTTACTGCATGTCGTACATCACCTTTGAAACCTCTGAGTCAACACAGCTGAATTCTTTTATGTATGATCCAAGCTATATATATGATAATAATCCTCAGATTAAATTGATACGATTATAGAAGTGGCCACAATGGCAGCCATATTGAAAATGTCATTTCTGCTCATGCCTCAGTCCCAATAGTATAACTATGATTAGAACACTGTGTACCTGTATTTAGGTTTAAATTTACTAAGCGGAAGCAGGCATAAAACATCCATGAACTCTACTGCAGTGAATAATGCATAATAAAACTCTGTGTTTAGCCTTTTGTTAAATAGACATGTATATCCCTGTTGTGAGTCTATGCAATATGTGTTGAACAGCACACAAACAGATACAACTTACTTGTCATCAGGAGATGACATATCCCTCGTTCTGGTGCAATTCGAAAATGGTGTTTGGCTACTTGTACCCGGCTTTCGTTTCTTTGCCATTGGATACTTTCTACCATCACTAGACTGATTTCCGGAAATGAGCACTACCCTCATTTTCAGTCAAGTCCAACTTGTCATCATGAAAATATAAAAAATAAACTTCCTTAATCATCAAAAGGCACCAGTTCACCACTAGACTGATCTGTATTGCAAGTTTCAAAAAGAAATAAGCAAAGATTTTGGAGTTCTGCTCCGGAAACAGCTGATGGACAGACGGAAATGGTGATCGCTATATCCATATTCCCCTGTTTATCAAGTCAACAGCATTTTAAGCAGAATCATAAAGAAAAATGTTTACTCATTAGTTTAAAAATACTGGACTCAAGGGAGTAAAATTATTTTGAATACCCAAAGAAATCTACCAATACCCAATGTGTAATACCAGTAACAATGTCTGTTTTCTAGTGACTTCTGTTTTATCTCCGTGGATGACCGCCTCTGTAATCTCGTGGTAGAGTGTCCATGCGGAAGGTTGTTGGTTTGATCCTTTGGCCGCCTCATACTAAAAGTAAAAGACGTTAAAAGATGGTACTTGTTGCTACCCTGCCTGTCCCTCTTCTGCATTAAGGGGCTAAGACAAGGACTGGTCGGCTTGGAGTCAGTATACAGAGTGGGGTATTCATGTTAAACTGTGGCTTAGTATCTCACTGGGCTAGCACTAAACGTTAGTCCCGACTGGTACAAGCAACCACACACACTCATATGCGCATGCCTGTCACTATATAAGTGCAGTAATCTTGAACACGATGTGAACCACATTTCGCCTCACGTCATCTCCTTAACCTATTTCTTGTTGTTCTTGTCAATGTTGTCTGGCCTTTCTGGCCTTCTATCTAGTACTAATATAATATTTCAGAAATATCTCTACTTCTTATTCTCTTTTGTTGCAAAATATAACATGAGTATCACTTATTGCTGGTACTTAAATATGAGCCACCAATTATCTCAAACATGTTTAGTTACAGTTTATCCTCCAAAACAAGTAGACCCGTGAAGATTCCGGGGTAGAATAGGTCTTCAGCAACCCATACTTGCCGTAAAAGGTGACTATGCTTGTCGTAAAAGGCGACTAACGGGATCGGGTGGTCAGGCTCGCTGACTTGGTTGATGCATGTCATCATATCCCAATTGGGTGGATCGATGCTCATGATATCAATCACTGGATTGTCTGGTCCAGACTCGATTATTTACAGACCGCTGTCATATAGCTGGAATATTGCTGGGTGCGGCGTTAAACAACAAACCAACCAACCAACCAAAACAAGTACATGCTATATCATGGTATATAACCAAATATGTTTTGTTACAGAATACACGTACACAGGCGGTGACCTCGAGGTCACTCCCAAGATGCTGTCGGACTTCAACGAGGCGGGCTACATACTTGTCAGGTACAGTATTTATAAGTCAGTATAAAAACCACCCCAGCCTAGGTTTACATGTATATTATCAACGTTGTTGACAAGCATACAGAGAAAAGTCTGTCAGTGAAGGTTCAACAAACTCATGGTTGCAAACAAAATGTTTGAATGCCCAAGAACGTGACGATGTTCTTATGAACGTTTCATACAACCGGGGAGCACAGGTGGCCAGTCGTCTAAGGTGCCGCAATTCACTGTGCAGAGTTGCATTCCTTGGGCATGCCAGAAACCTATGAATGTTAGTTCGAATCTTGGTTTGCCCCAATTCTTTGCCTTGGTTTGTCAGCACCATACCCATGCTCGTAGGTTTCACCAAAGTGGTAAATGTCTGATACTGGCATCATTTCGGGCTTTCCTTTGCAGTGGAGGACTAAACTCAGATTAACTAAACATGAACTTACCTTGCAAACAACTAAACGTGAAATCCCCTTGTAATCAACTAAACGTGAAATCCCCTTGTAATCAACTAAACCTGAAATCCCCTTGTAATCAACTTAACGTGAAATCCCCTTGTAATGTCATGAACAATGAAAATGTAATTAGATAAAATGAAATGGATTTGAAACTTAAAACGAAGTTGCCGTTTGATTAGCGTATGTTAACAATGTAAATGGGTTACTCTCTCAACTATTTCTATTCTATTCTATTCTATTTCTGTACTATTCTTATTCACTATTTTGTAACTTAGAGAGAGATATCCATTTACTACTTGCACCTATGAACGCCAGAAGCCAACTGAAATTCACTGTTTGCAGAGCATGCGCATTTTACGCTCATTAAGCAAGAAGCACATGCTGCATGTCAACTTTAACGCTTTCTGTGAAGCTGTTGTGTACCTATGAATCAACCACTGTGTCCAGGAACATGACACTTGTTCCCGGACACTGTTCCCGGACGCTTCAGAACAGGCGTTAAACCCAACTCACTGACCAGTTTATTCATACAACCAATTTTAATTATGCCATGAACTGATGGTATTTTAAGAATTTAATGCAACTTAGTGCTTAGTTTTGATCACATCATGCTGAAGTCCAGATTCCCCCCGTGGAGATAACATGGCCTGCCTAGTCCTGATGTTGTTGAAATACTGATGAAAGCTCTGCAAAACATTTTTTGTGATAACTGGCACATGTCATGTCATGTGACAGAAAGGAAGTGGTTCCATTTCACTGAGTTACTGCTGCTATGTATGGATGCTAATTACATTCACGCACTAATTTTAAAACCCCAAAAGACAGTCGAGCAGGTGACCCATAAATTTTGCCTGTCCATTTTAAAAGTTGCCTGCTCACATTCAGACATTATTTATGTTAAAAAATTGCAAAAAATAAGAGACAAATCAAGTTATAATTCAGTTGATGTAATGCAAACAATCACCAGAGAATCTACGAGGCTTTATTATAAAAGTGAATATGTAAGTAGTCTTAACATTATCTGCCAGACAGTTGGGCAGGCAGAGGAAAATTTCATGCAGCCCGACAGAAACAATACCAGCCACGGGCAGGTGTGCAGGCAGTTATTTCAGACACTGCATTCATGTGATAACCCCACCCCAGTAGTACTGAACATGCTGAAAGCTGTGGTTGTATACATCATGGTATGTTGTTATTCAGAGGCCTCCTAGACAGCGAAGAGTTGACGAAGGTCCGTGACACCCTGGAAGGCAGTGATGCCATCATAAAGCATGCATACGGGGTACGGTACGCTTAGATCTCCGATCATATGGCCTTTAAACAGAGCTCTGGTGGACATGATGGAAGTATGTCTTACTTGCCATCATGAAGACTTTAAACATTTGGGCTCTCTCGTTTATTATTATATTTAACATGTTCTATACCTTTTGGTGCATTGCAAGCTGTGACATGGATGTTCAGTGTTGTCTACTTGTCATGAGCAGTTGTCAACAATACACCAAGGTAGTGGGTTTACACTATAACATTGGTGAACAGTATAGTCATCTGATTCATGAACACACCTGAACAGAATGTTGGAGGAAGGTCATGGCACATTGACTGCCGCTCCACCCAAATGGGCTTGGTGTGCATATGCAGCATCTCTCAAACTACAATCCCTGATGTCAAGTCTTTTGGGATGATCCTAGCAATGATCATGATGATGTCTGTCTCAAATAATTCCTATCAAAGTTTTAACCTAGGCACTGTGGCAGCCATATTGAAATTTCAGATTTTGTCCATCACTGGTCCATTCCTCTGCCATTTCTGCATGTATGCAGTGTGTATGGTATATGTGCAGTCTCACATATGTCGATGTGACCTTTCATCTCATGTACCTTAGTGTATCATTCATTTTTCTGCATTTTCTCTGAACCTGCGGAAAGCTATGTTTTTGAACCTGTAATTTTGGGTACAACTCTATTAATGATGTCTCAAAAATCTGTTTACAGAATTCTGATTCAATTTTAAACATGGCCATCCAAAAGCCATAAATAGCAATGTAATTTTTTTTCTTATTTACTGAACACCATGTCACATATTTTGAGTTTAGTACAACTTTGTTCTTGGATTGTCATATGGCGGCTGCTTGGTAAGTAACAAGCCAGGCCGTTGTTGTCAAGGGAGGCGCTGTATTGCTAGTTCCTGCCCTGCCCTCAGTCTGAAGATGAGCCTTGCTGGCCTAGATCAGATAGGGTGACATGCTAACCTTAAGATTGTTGAATAGTTAGAATTTGACCAAAGCGGTGTACTTTTTAACCAAATTCATTTTGAAGCCAGGTCTTTGATTGGCATTTTGAGGTTGAAGTCCATGTTACTTGTGCCTATAATTAAGGCCAGTTGATCTAAGTCTTAATTATGAGTCTCTGGTAATAATTATGGTGTGTAAAAACTGTTAAATGTTTTTGTGATGTAATAAAACATTATATGATTTGTAAGACCATAATTTTGAAGGTCACACTGAGATGAGATTTCTTGTGTTATGTTGGTGTTGAGTTTAGATATATGTGTTGAGGGAGATCTATATTAGAGAGATGCTCTGTGATGGAGAGACTGCTGTGTTTCAGGTTGCTGATGGTGAGGATCGCCAGAGCAAGCTATGCATCTGGAGCCACCCCGGGGATGATGTGACTGGCATGGTGGGGCGGTGTGAGAAGGTTGTCACCACATCGGAGAAGGTGGGCATCACAACAAACACACACCTGCCACAATGCATAGATTACCCAGTGTATGGTCATGATCATGTCTCCATGCTATGTTGACAAATCCCCTCAAACCATCATACCCACTCACCACCATAGCTTTGGTTTGAAAGTGATGTCACATCCTCCTTTGTCCTAGCACAGATTAATGGGAAAACTCTTTATGCATTGTGCTATTCAAATTTTGCTTAAATTATGCTATGGTCAGGGGTGTATCTAGACCTGATCTGAGGTCGATATTCAGTCCCGAGTTTGGAGAAAAGGTCAGTAAAATTTCCCAAATTGCAATTTAACATTTCCCAATTCATGCTATTATAGCTATAACTAATGTTATGGCTTTTTAAAGGTGTCATAAGAGGCTTTAACATGTTTAATGCTTTGTTTCTTTGCATGAATGCAATGTTACAATTTGCTGTTAAAATGCCCCTGAGCTTAGAAAAATAAGAACTTTAATAGAAATCCCAAGTTTGAACACAATAACAATTTCTTTCCAATCTTCCTGCCAAGAGCACTTTGAATCCTAGATAAATCACTGGTAGTAGATGGATCCAGGGTATTTGTTCCAGACAGTAATGCAGCTGCTTCCATGAATGGGGTTTAGTAGTGCTGACAGCTGAAGGTTCCAGGTATTTACATGCCAAGGTAGCACACTTTTCGCAAGGCTTGACATGGAATGTTTGCTGCAACTTTGTATCAAGCTGTTCTGTTTTGTAATTTGATAGCAAATATTTCGCTACAAGTTGATAAAAGTTTGAAACTCCAATGATTGCCTGACTTTGATCGATGATATATTTGATCTTAATGGACACAAGGGTGAGATTCACTTGATCATCAAAAGTCGTTCTTCCAACTTTTTCAGATTATAATCATGATAACCAATAATAAGAAGTGTTTTGAGTGTAACAAGTACAGCTAACCAGCTTCAGTGGCAGAGCATTCTTATGATCTGGGTTAGAATAGGTCTTCAGCAACCCACTCTTGTCATAAGAGGCGACTATGCTTGTCATAAGAGGCAACTAATAGGATCACTTGGTCAGGCTCGCTGACTTGGGTGATGTATGTCATCATATCCCATTTGAGTGGATCGATGCTCAAATCAGTGGCAGAGAGTGAGTGAGTTTTATCACAACGTGTCAGCTTAATATTGGAGGAAAACCCAAAGTGATGCAAGTCTTCTGACATTTACCATTTTGGTTAAATCAAAGAGCCATATATGGCGTTAACAAACCCAGATACATAATCAGAGAGAACCGGGATTTGATCAGTGGCAAAGACGTAAGTGATGTCATTTGATTGTGACTGCCTTTGATTGTGGTCTGCAAAGCATTGTGATGCAGTTTCATTGTAGAGCTGTCCCTTGATCTCACCCAAGCAATATCTCCTCTGGTAACTAGGGATGAAAACATATGTTCCAATGTCATGTTTATTTTTAAAAGGTCTGAGGTCAAAAGGACTGTAATATTATTGGCTGTTGTGTAAAAAAAAACCAAGCCTTCTTTTCATTTCCAGTTGCTTGGTGGTGAAGTTTATCACTACCACACCAAGCTGATGATGAAGGAAGCATTTACTGGAGGCAAGCATGTCTGGCATCAGGATTATGGGTAGGTTGGCTGAAGAACTGCTTCACACACTGGGGGCAAGCATGGCTGGTAGGTTGGCTGAAGAACTACTGCTTCACACACTGGGGGCAGGCATGGCAGGTAGGTTGGCTGAAGAACTGCTTCACACACTGGGGGCAGGCATGGCTGGTAGGTTGGCTGAAGAACTACTGCTTCACACACTGGGGGCAGGCATGGCAGGTAGGTTGGCTGAAGAACTGCTTCACACACTGGGGGCAGGCATGGCTGGTAGGTTGGCTGAAGAACTACTGCTTCACACACTGGGGGCAGGCATGGCAGGTAGGTTGGCTGAAGAACTGCTTCACACACTGGGGGCAGGCATGGCTGGTAGGTTGGCTGAAGAACTACTGCTTCACACACTGGGGGCAGGCATGGCAGGTAGGTTGGCTGAAGAACTGCTTCACACACTGGGGGCAAGCATGGCAGGTAGGTTGGCTGAAGAACTACTTTACACACTGGGGGCAAGCATGGCTGGGTAGGTTGGCTGAAGTACTGCCTCACACACTGGGGGCAAGCATGGCAGGTAGGTTGGCTGAAGTACTGCCTCACACACTGGGGGCAAGCATGGCTGGTAGGTTGGCTGAAGAACTACTGCTTCACACACTGGGGGCAAGCATGGCTGGGTAGGTTGGCTGAAGTACTGCCTCACACACTGGGGGCAAGCATGGCTGGTAGGTTGGCTGAAGAACTACTGCTTCACACACTGGGGGCAAGCATGGCTGGTAGGTTGGCTGAAGAAGTACTGCCTCACACACTGGGGGCAAGCATGGCTGGGTAGGTTGGCTGAAGAAGTACTGCCTCACACACTGGGGGCAAGCATGGCAGGTAGGTTGGCTGAAGAACTGCTTCACACACTGGGGGCAAGCATGGCTGGTAGGTTGGCTGAAGAACTACTGCTTCACACACTGGGGGCAAGCATGGCTGGGTAGGTTGGCTGAAGAAGTACTGCCTCACACACTGGGGGCAAGCATGTCTTGGTAGGTTGGCTGAAGAAGTACTGCCTCACACACTGGGGGCAAGCATGGCTGGTAGGTTGGCTGAAGAAGTACTGTTTCACACACTGGGGGCAAGCATGGCTGGTAGGTTGGCTGAAGAAGTACTGTTTCACACACTGGGGGCAAGCATGACTGGTAGGTTGGCTGAAGAAGTACTGTCTCACACACTGAGGGCAAGCATGTCTTGGTAGGTTGGCTGAAGAACTTCTGCCTCACACACTGGGGGCAAGCATGGGTGGGTAGGTAGGCTGAAGAACTACTGCTTCACACACTGGGGGCAAGCATGTCTTGGTAGGTTGGCTGAAGAACTACTGCTTCACACACTGGGAGCAAGCCTGTCTTGGTAGGTTGGCTGAAGTACTGCCTCACACACTGGGGGCAAGCCTGTCTTGGTAGGTTGGCTGAAGAACTACTGCCTCACACACTGGGGGCAAGCATGTCTTGGTAGGTTGGCTGAAGAACTACTGCTTCACACACTGGGGGCAAGCATGGCTGGGTAGCTGGGATGGAGGATGGAGGGGCAAGCATGGCTGGGTTGCTGGGGTGAAGGATGGAGGGGCAAGCATGGCTGGGTAGCTGGGGTGAAGGATGGAGGTGCAAGCATGGCTGGGTAGCTGGGGTGGAGGATGGAGGGGCAAGCATGGCTGGGTAGCTGGGGTGAAGGATGGAGGGGCAAGCATGGCTGGGTTGCTGGGGTGAAGGATGGAGGGGCAAGCATGGCTGGGTAGCTGGGGTGAAGGATGGAGGGGCAAGCATGGCTGGGTAGCTGGGGTGAAGGATGGAGGGGCAAGCATGGCTGGGTTGCTGGGGTGAAGGATGGAGGGGCAAGCATGGCTGGGTAGCTGGGGTGAAGGATGAAGGGGTAAGCATGGCTGGGTAGCTTGGCTGAAGGATGGAGGTACACATTGTGGGCAATCTTGTATGACATTAGGACTACATGGACTGTGTGTATATGTTGGTGAAGACTTTCTAGAATGTATGAGAAAAGGTCGACAAGTGATTGATATGCCTTGGGAAACAAGGACAGTAAGCAAACAGTTGCTTTCATGTTGTTTGTGTGAAATTAAGTTACTTGAAAGTAGCACAGCTAAAGAAATGTACCATGTTATTGTAAGATGTGGTGATGCTGTTCTTCCAGATACTGGTACAAAAATGGCTGCCTCTTCCCTGACATGTTGACTGTCTTCATCTCCATCGATGCATGTACCAAGGCTAATGGCTGCCTTCAGGTCAGGCACTTTGTTTACAATGGCTTTATGATTTTAGAATAATACATATGCAAGAGATTAGCTCCTTGGTTCATTAAGCTTTAGTGATTGTCTTCACTGTAGCTAGCCAATCAGTTAATAGTCTGGAGAGAGAGGGGGGTGTTTGTGTTTGACTGGGGAGAGGTGCCTGGGATTTTATCTAGTTATAATGCTTCAGGCTGTTCAGAAGAAAATAAATTGCCTGCCAAAAAAATTACATTGTTGCAAGGTGTTTTTCTTAGAAAAACATTCAGGCTCATAGGTTTAAATAAAATCTGAGGCCAGCTCAGATGCAAATCAGGTTGTTCCCCAGCCACCAGACCGTAGTGAGTCACTGGTTGTCCTATGGAGCCATTGTAGTTCCTCAAGCCAAAGAAGCTATGAAGCTGAAACTTTGCATGGGTGGTCTCACCAAAGAACTATATACAGTCAAGTCCTTTTACTCCGACATTGTTGGTGCATATGATTATGTCGGATTAACGAGTATGTCGGATAAGCAAAATTAGGTAGTATAAACGTTCGTGACCGAAATAGGACAACTACACGTTAGATAACGATAAGAACACGTAGGAAAATGAAAAATGAAATATTCATATTGTTGTGTTACATTGTCAGCGGAATATGTTTTCTAATCATGCAAACACTAAAGTTTAACACAAAACTACTGTTACGGACTGTATGACAGATTCAAAATTGACTGATTTTAAAGCATATTAATTTTTTTGGGAAGTCGCTAATTTGAAACTAATGCCGCAATGCTTAAGAAAGCTGCTTTCTTAGTGGCTAATGTCAACTTCCTGTAAGTAATTTCACTGGTCGGTCAAAGTTCGCGAAAGGTCGTTCTGAGGTGACCTGTAATGGGATGTCCTCAGTGGTAGCAGGACTTGTATCCGAGTTAAATGAGATTGAGGTAATCTAGGCATGTGATTAATTCTGTTTTTGTGTTTTTTAAAGCAGTAATTGTATATTGTTAAGCAAGTTTATCTCTGCAGCCGTTGAAATATGCAGCTACTCGCCAACTCGTCTCGCATCAAAACACGGGGCTGTGTACGCTCTGGCAGATGACCACGGAGTACGCTGATCACTGTCGGATTAACGAGACTGATTAATGAGTGATTTCAGCAATTCATTGCAAATTAGATGTGTCGGAGTCGGAATGCGAGACTGTCGGATTAACGGGTTTAAAGAGCACTGATTTAATCGGTTCCAATCATTTGTGTCGGATAAAGCCGATTGTCGGATTAACAAGACTTGACTGTATAGTTATTACCTTTCCATGGTAGCCATTTTGACAAAAGTATTTCTGATGTATTTGGGAAAGTGACCAGAATGCAGAGAATTCTTCCCAGTACAGTTTGCACCAACAGTGTGTAGAGCTCACCTTAACTGATGGTGCCCTGTCTGCCACTCTGTCCGTCTATCCAGCCTTTGTAATCACTTAACATTCTTATACTCTTTACATCTCCTTTTAACGCCTGTGCTTGGATGATACCTGCAATTGTCTCACAGATTTAATTTAATGTTTTTATTGACCAACAATACATTTCTGGCCAATGAGTCACGGAGTAGGTTTGATAGATAAATGAGGTCATGAGGTGTACAAAACAAAAGGAAACATACCTTCTGCTTTAACTTAGATTCTAGAGGGGTCTCATCGCTGTGGTCGGATAGAGCACCTGTTTGTTGGAGACCAGACCGGGGCTGACCTGGCCCGGGTCAAGGAGCTGCAGGGCCAGCTGGAGCAGCTGCATGTGGAGATGAAGCCTGGTGAGGACACCCACAGAGTAGGGGAGGGTAGTGTCGGGGGTGGAGGGAGGTAGTGTCTGGGGTGGAGGGAGGGTAGTGTCTGGGGTGGATAGGGTAGTGTCTTGGGTGGCAATGTAGTGTCTTGAGTAGATAGGGTAATGTCTGGGGTGGATGGGGGGTAGTGTTTTGGGTGGATGGAGGTAGTGTCTGGGGTGGATAGGGTAGTGTCTGGGGTAGATGGAGGTAGTGTCTGGGGTGAATGGAGGTAGTGTCTGGGGTGGAGGGAGGTAGTGGCTGGGGTGGATGGAGGTAGTGTCTGGGGTGGAGGGAGGTAGTGTCTGGGGTGGAGGGAGGTAGTGTCTGGGGTAGATGGAAGTAGTGTCTGGGGTGGAGGAATGTAGTGTCTGGGGTAGATGGAGGTAGTGTCTGGGGTAGATGGAGGTAGTGGCTTGGGGCAGTGTCTGGGGTGGAGGGAGGTAGTGGCTGGGGGTAGTGTCTGGGGTGGATGGAGGTAGTGTCTGGGGTGGAGGGAGGTAGTGTCTGGGGTTGAGGGAGGTAGTGTCTGGGGTGGAGGGAGGTAGTGTCTGGGGTGGGGGGAGGTAGTGTCTGGGGTAGATGGAGTTAGTGGCTGGGGGTAGTGTCTGGGGTGGAGGGAGGTAGTGTCTGGGGTGGAGGGAGGTAGTGTTTGGGGTGGGGGGAGGTAGTGTCTGGGGTAGATGGAGGTAGTGGCTTGGGGCAGTGTCTGGGGTGGAGGGAGGTAGTGTCTGGGGTGGAGGGAGGTAGTGTCTGGGGTGGGGGGAGGTAGTGTTTGGGGTGGGGGGAGGTAGTGTCTGGGGTAGATGGAGGTAGTGGCTTGGGGCAGTGTCTGGGGTGGGGGGAGGTAGTGTTTGGGGTGGGGGGAGGTAGTGTCTGGGGTAGATGGAGGTAGTGGCTTGGGGCAGTGTCTGGGGTGGAGGGAGGTAGTGTCTGGGGTGGAGGGAGGTAGTGTCTGGGGTGGGGGGAGGTAGTGTTTGGGGTGGGGGGAGGTAGTGTCTGGGGTAGATGGAGGTAGTGGCTGGGGGCAGTGTCTGGGGTGGAGGTGTCGCAGAGGCTTATGCAGGGTAATGGAGAGACACAAAAGCATGCTGTTTTTACAACCGGATTTATTCCAATGATGGTCCACAATCAGTGGTTATGATGATGAAGAAACCCTAAAACACAATATTTACAAAATGTAGGCAAACATTATAACCAATAGATCATTAAAAGAATACTGCCATTATACATCTATTACATGTGTTTGATATACCAATCAATAAGATATAATGTGAACACTTACTTTACATTTAGTACGGTAAAGCATGTTATGGAGGATATCTCCTCAGTGAGGATGATATCACTGAATACACTACAAAGCAATTAAATAATACTATATTAAGCAATATACCATTACAATAGTATAGACAATTATGCCATGACATGTTGACATAAATACATGTATTACTAAGGGAAGTAACCCTCACCTCGTCTAAGGGACGGAGGCCAAACCACCAGATGTCATCAAAACTGGTCATGCAGTATCTTACGTGACCTGATAAATGATATATAACTACATAAATCTTACTGGTATGGTAAACATCACATACATTGTATACATGGCATGTGAAACTCATCTAGCAGTATAAAAATCAACATTTTTAGGCATTTCATATGTATTGATAAAAATCAACAAATATACTGTTTTGGTATTTTACACTTTCATGATAAAATAGTACCAATACATGCTTAAATCTAGTACACTCATTATGCATATACCTCAGTGGTAACATCTTACAATATGTAAATATATATTGCACTAACATGAATATACTGATAATTCATGTTTATAACATATACATGATATACTGTTCTTATGGAACATAAATGACTTAATATGAGTGTACTAAAATACATTATATATACTAGAAAACTAAGCACAATGATAATAAATATAATTAACTCACCCCAAACGGAGCTGTCCTTTCCCAGTGAGAGTTGTGACTAGAAATGGTGCACATAGTAAAGGTATGAAGTACATGACCAAGGTGGTCATGTGACGCGGGAAATACAAAGCCAGGCCAAGCTGACCGGCAGAGAGCAATAGGCTAGGCTGAGACCGCAGTAGCCTTAGCAGAAAGAATCAATCACCACATGTTAGATTATGTTACTGAGGTGTGAGTTAGTGGACTAAGTAAACTAATTTATTTAATAAATACACTAATCCTAAAATACCTATGTTTTGGATAAGTTTATACTAAACTACTTTTAAAATAATCCCAAATATATACATCCTGCCACAGAGGGAGGTAGTGTCTTGGATAGATGGAGGTAGTGTCTGGGGTGGAGGGAGGTAGTGGCTGGGGGCAGTGTCTTGGATAGATGGAGGTAGAGGCTGGGGGTAGTGCCTGGGGTGGAGGGAGGTAGTGGCTGGGGGCAGTGTCTTGGATAGATGGAGGTAGTGGCTGGGGGTAGTGCCTGGGGTGGAGGGAGGTAGTGGCTGGGGTTGAGGGAGGTAGTGGCTGGGGGCAGTGTCTGGGGTGGAGGGAGGTAGTGGCTGGGGGTAGTGTCTGGGGTGGAGGGAGGTAGTGGCTGGGGGCAGTGTCTTGGATAGATGGAGGTAGTGGCTGGGGGTAGTGCCTGGGGTGGAGGGAGGTAGTGGCTGGGGTCAGTGTCTTGGATAGATGGAGGTAGTGGCTGGGGGTAGTGCCTGGGGTGGAGGGAGGTAGTGGCTGGGGGCAGTGTCTGGGGTGGAGGGAGGTAGTGGCTGGGGGTAGTGTCTGGGGTGGAGGGAGGTAGTGGCTGGGGGCAGTGTCTTGGATAGATGGAGGTAGTGGCTGGGGGTAGTGCCTGGGGTGGAGGGAGGTAGTGGCTGGGGGTAGTGGCTGGGGTAGATTGAGGTAATGGCTGGGGGTAGTGTCTGGGGTTGAGGGAGGTAGTGGCTGGGGGCAGTGTCTTGGATAGATGGAGGTAGTGCCTGGGGTGGAGGGAGGTAGTGGCTGGGGGCAGTGTCTTGGATAGATGGAGGTAGTGGCTGGGGGTAGTGTCTGAGGTGGAGGGAGGTAGTGGCTGGGGGCATTGTCTTGGATAGATGGAGGTAGTGGCTGGGGGTAGTGCCTGGGGTGGAGGGAGGTAGTGGCTGGGGGCAGTGTCTTGGGTGGAGGGAGGTAGTGGCTGGGGGTAGTGTCTGGGGTGGAGGGAGGTAGTGGCTGGGGGCAGTGTCTGGGGTGGAGGGAGGTAGTGGCTGGGGGTAGTGTCTGGGGTGGAGGGAGGTAGTGGCTGGGGTGGAGGGAGATAGTGGCTGGGGGCAGTGTCTGGGGTGGAGGGAGGTAGTGGCTGGGGGCAGTGTCTGGGGTGGAGGGAGGTAGTGGCTGGGGGTAGTGTCTGGGGTGGAGGGAGGTAGTGGCTGGGGGCAGTGTCTTGGATAGATAGAGGTAGTGGCTGGGGGTAGTGCCTGGGGTGGAGGGAGGTAGTGGCTGGGGGCAGTGTCTTGGATAGATGGAGGTAGTGGCTGGGGGTAGTGCCTGGGGTGGAGGGAGGTAGTGGCTGGGGGCAGTGTCTGGGGTGGAGGGAGGTAGTGGCTGGGGGTAGTGGCTGGGGTGGAGGGAGGTAGTGGCTGGGGTGGAGGGAGGTAGTGGCTGGGGGCAGTGTCTGGGGTGGAGGGAGGTAGTGGCTGGGGGCAGTGTCTGGGGTGGAGGGAGGTAGTGGCTGGGGGTAGTGTCTGGGGTGGAGGGAGGTAGTGGCTGGGGGCAGTGTCTTGGATAGATGGAGGTAGTGGCTGGGGGTAGTGCCTGGGGTGGAGGGAGGTAGTGGCTGGGGGCAGTGTCTTGGATAGATGGAGGTAGTGGCTGGGGGCAGTGTCTGGGGTGGAGGGAGGTAGTGGCTGGGGGTAGTGTCTGGGGTGGATGGAGGTAGTGGCTGGGGTGGAGGGAGGTAGTGGCTGGGGGCAGTGTCTGGGGTGGAGGGAGGTAGTGGCTGGGGGTAGTGGCTGGGGTAGATTGAGGTAATGGCTGGGGGTAGTGTCTGGGGTTGAGGGAGGTAGTGTCTGGGGTATGTGTAATTGTTTACGGGGAGATACAGTGAGTAATGGTACACTGCTGCTATAACCTAGAGAGTGCTGTGTCCACAGGTGATGGCCTGTTCTTCCACAGTAACCTGCTGCATACCTCCAGCGCCAACACCAGCCCCGACCGCCGCTGGGCCTTCCTGTGTGCCTACAACCGTGCAAGCAACAACCCTGTGTACGAGCATCACCATCCCCAGTACACCCCACTAGTCAAGGTGAGATGGAGGGAGTGACCTCCCTCTGTGGAACTCTCAGGGTCATGATCAGTCTACCTCAAGTCAAAATCAAATGGAAAGTTGGACCAAATCATTTTATAAGTAAGGACTTCCAACTGCAATTGGATTTCTCAACCAAGTGCTTGTGAGAGAGTTCATACCTGATATACTTCATTTATGCCCCTGTGGAAAATTTCCAACTTGTGAGTGGATGACCTGAAGGTATGAACTGGCCATAAAAATGTTTGTGTACACAATAACTTGAGTACCTGTTATGTGCCATACCTGGGTTAAATGTCAAAGTCAGTTTGAAATGACTTGTGAATAGTTTCATTCAAAAAGTATAAGCAGTTTAGTATCCAGACTTTATGTTTGTGTCACCACCTATGTGTACAAAAATAATGTTCTCGCTTATGGATGGATGACCTTGAAGTTCAAAGTCACTCAGTGTTTAGTCTTAAAGAGGCTTCTGGATAATATGGCTTGAGCATTAATGATTTTATTTGATTTGATGAAATCTAATTTACAGGACCCCAAAGGCGGGATCTTGACTGTTACAACTTTCGATTGACCTCCATATGAGGTCAAGGCAGCTTGTACTAGTTCGGACTGATGCCAATTTATAGTGCTGGCCCACTGAGATACCATGCCGCAGTTTAACAAAAATACCCCACTCAGGCACAGTGTACTGACTTTGAGCCGAACAGTTGTTAATAGCCCCTTAAAAGCACTCAACAACCAACAGTGAAAAAGACCAAAATATAACATAGCATCTCAGTAAATGTCCCGTGTTGGATAAGTGGCAAACTGGATCAGTACATACTTTTGAGTCAGTCCCTTAATTTGCCACTTACGGAGTGAGCTCCTTCCTGTGCCTGAGATGGGTAATTTGTCATGATGTCAAGCAATGGCCAACTGCTCTGTTATAGGATATTTAGGATCTGTAGCCCATTGTGTGTGTCAGTGTTGGAGGCTGCCCGGGCAATCCACTATAAGGGTCTGTGTATCTCCAGGTGTCCAACAGCGCCATCAAAGAGTGTGTCAACCTGACCGACACAACAGGGAAGGACTTTGTGGACCCAGATAAAGACAACACAGTGAAGAAGGGGGACACAGCTGCCCCCAGCACAAAGCGACAGAAGGTGGCAGCATAGCCTCCTCCCTCCTCCTCCTCCTCCTCCGCTAGCCTCCTGGTTGCTGGGCCTGAACACACACAGAGCATGTCTAGCATCACTGCCATCAGTCATCCAAGCCTTGACTGGAGCCTGACATATACATAACAGCCAAATGGGACAAGTCTTTTTTTCACTCATTTTGACTACAACTTTTTCTTTAAACTCACCATACACGCTTTATATCTCTTTTTTCTTTTTTTTGCCAAATGTTTGTGGTCGATATGACATTATGCAAGAAATGTTGAAATGAGATTTGCTTGATTAACATGATCATCATCATAAAAAAAAGCTCTTGAAATAAAAAAATAAATAATGTTAAAAAACACAGCAATATTTCATGGCAAGATTTAGGACAGGTTGAAACATTAGCAGCAGAAACAAAAGTTCTGGCCTGGAACTGAAACACTACCATGATTACCAGCAGCCTTACTCAGAGTGTGTTATGCATTGTTATCACAGTTCTCAGAGATGGCAACCATTGCAATTTAGCCAGAATCATGATATTTGAATCCAATTTGGCCTATCCTGTGTACAGTATATATAATTTTATTGAAACATATCCAGTAATCAAAACAATACAGCCCGTCAATCTGACAATGATTACAATGGCCTGAGTTCGGGGTCAGCATCTCTGAGTCCATTGTTGCACTGGTGGTGGAGGCGGGAGGCTAGGCATGTGGTTCAGAAGGGTAGCAGGGTATCCCCGCTGTCCTCATGCTGATGCCTTACCACTACATCATGTCGTCATGTTGTATAAGATATAATAACCAAGATTTGTACTCCCTTCAATCATGACATGATACTGACCACTGTTGTCTTGTTACAGTCATCAAGATATCACATTAGATTACTTGAAACACATCAATCTATGCAATATCTCGTTCCTGCATGATCATGATTATGTCAGAAAAAACATGTTTGTCAAAAACGGACTGAAAATACACACTTTTAGCTTATTTTTGAAGTTCTGTATAGAGGATTATGTGTATTTTGAGTCAACCATGTTCTTCTGATCATGCTGACATTGGTATAAAGCTACCACCATATTAATACTATATGAGGTGAGGTGAGGTGAAATGGGGTTTAACGTCGCGTCCAAGATTATTGCACACATATAGCGACGTGCATGCACTTGTGTGTGTGTGGCTGCTTGTACTAGTCCGGAATGATGCCGATTTATAGTGCTAGCCCACTGAGATACCATGCCGTAATTTAACTATTTATAGCTAATGTTCAAGTCATTTGTTCAAAATGTAATGAAATTGGTACATGTGAAATTACTAGGTCAAACTTCAAATACTTCTTCCCGCTAATGATAATTGTTCAAGATGCTTGAACCTAATTTTCTATGTGGCCACCATGTCTGCCATATTAAAAATTATATTTATGGCAATTTTATACATAACTAGTTTGTAATTGGGAATAATATATATGTTCCTGATTTTCTCCCTAATGTTTTATGTTTTGACCTCGACTTGACCTCTGAAAGTTGAAGCTTGTTATGGCCATTACTCTGCCATTTTGTTTCAAAATGTAATGAACTTTGGTATGTGTGTGGTTTGTTTTGGAATTCAACACCTATGTTTCACTCTTTGCAAATTAAATATTTTGCCTTGACCATTCTTTTTTATTGTCTCAATATTCATACTGACCCTGTAAACTTCTCCCCTTCTGAGGATCTGTGTTTCTCCTTATGCTGTTATGAGGACATCACATTTTGTTCAAATGATGTTTTAGTGTTTAGTCATCAGTACTGGTATTCATGTGGAAATTGCTCTTGAATATTGATGGCAACTTTGGCTAAGTGACTCTCTTTGTTGACATTTTGCTGAATACATATCCAGATTTATTATTGAAGTGCAGATGAAGTCAACAGTATCTCCAGGTATCCTGGTCTGATACACCTACAACTCTTACAGTAGTCACTGCACCAGTGTCATCTGCTGTCACTACTCGGGAGGGGGCACGGGTGGCCCAGTCGTCTAAGGCGCCGTGATTCACTGTGCAGAGTTGTGTCCCTTGGACACGCCAGAAACCTATGATTGTGGGTTCGAATCCCAGTTCGCCCCGATTATGTTTCTAGGTTTGTCAGCACCATACCCTTGCTCGTGGGTTTCACCAAAGTGGTAAACGTCAGAGACCTGCATCACTTGGGGCTTTCCTCCCACATTGAGCTGACACGCCGCGATATAACTGGAATACAGTTAAAAGCGGCGTTAAACCCAACTCACTCACTCACTCAGTACTCCGGAGAATCATAATACATTGTATTACACCTTTACACTGTACTCTTGATTACATTCCTACCACACTGACATTTTATTCCGGTCATACAGGAAGTTTCACACATGTTCTACCTTGTGTAACTGTCTAAAGAGGGATTTTGTGATGGGTCTATATTAAAACATGGGGCTTCGTTATTTTGTTGTTTTGTTTTTTCTTTTGATGGAGGGGAGAGAAAGGATACTTGCAATGTATTTGTTCTGGTCAGAACAAAGTCTCTGTGTGTGAAAATTCCTATTTGAAATTTCTGTTAACCTTTTTGAAGACAACAAATTCATTAATAAAATGGTTATTTTGTACCTATCTCTGTTATCATGGTAAAAACAATTCTCATTTTCTGTTAAGTCTTCAGGATCCTTAATCCTGACAGCTGTAGTATTCACTAGCAATGTAGCCTTTTTGTTTGATATATTTGACATAAACACAGTCATTTCTTGGAATTCTCGTGCAGCAGTACTAACGGTTTCGGTTGTGTTTTGGGCTCTGCATTCCATCCTTACTGTCATAATTACTTGTCTTCACGTTTGCCTTTATCATTAATTAACTATCAAGATTTGTTTCATGCTTTTCTTTTCCATCATATTCTTTTGTTTTTCTTTTAGATTATGTTGATTTGTATTGCGATTGTATGTCTTAGTTTCCCTGTTTTTAATGTTGCACATTAACAATATATATAGGAACGTCGCTCATAAACACACCCGAACATTTGTTCCTGTCAACCATAACTTTTTACTTCAGGGTCGGAACATATTCATTGCAATTTTTTTTTATTTAATCCTGATCTTTTTCCCAGGTTGGAACTAACTTTGGGCGGAACTAAAACATGTTTCCAACTTTTCCCAAATGTTCAGATCATTTGGAATACATTCAACTTTCGCATTTTTGGTATGAATATTGGACATGGGATATTCCTACACGTTATAGGTGTTACCAATTTTACTTTTTTATTCTCTTCATTTTTATCAGAACTAGAAGTATTCACATGCCAGAATAGAATTTTGATTACCACATTCATCCATATTCAAGCGTCGTGAAAGTGTCCGACTGTCTATTGGATAGACTGGAGTACAGGGAAGCCTTGTAGGTCAGGACTGTACACAACTAGACAAACGTGCCACATTAACAAATGTCCACTTTAACGAATTATGGGTTATATTTCTTGGATGTTTTGGCGTTCCTAACAAGATCCTCCAGGAGCATGAGGAGGGTTTCCTAACTTGTTTGTTTGTTTGTTGTTTCACGCTTGCACACAGCAATATGATGGTGGTATGTAAATAGTCAAGTCTGGACCAGATATTCCAGTGATTGATATCATGAGCATCGATCCACGCAATAGGGATACGATGACATGCATCAACCAAGTCCAGACCACCTGATCCCGTTAGTCGCCACAAGCATGTGTTGCTGAAGACCTATTGTTGCTGGAGACCTATTGTTACTGAAGACCTATTGTTGCTGAAGACCTATTGTTGCTGAAGACCTGTTGTTGCTGAAGACCTATCCTAACCTGGATCTTCACAGGTCGGTTTCCTGCTGTCAAGGTCCACTGTACATGTCAATGTCACAGGTTGGCATCTAGCAACATGAGCATGTGGACAGACTTGTGAAATTCAGATTACATGAGTAGTTCTTTGTTTTAGCTTTTTGGGAGGTTGTACACAGGTTTCATTTGTATTAAAACATTTTTTATCAATTGACTTTCAAAAGCATCATACTTGCCCCATGTCCTGTCCCCAACTAGGAAGGTGTTAGGAGCGCCACTGTGGGTGTCACATCACAGTGTTTCATGTACCGGTACTCTATGAGGCAGGAATGTTTATTTGGGATATTTTAGCTCAACAGCCCTTATGTCTTTCAGTATGAGTTGAGCTGTATCCCCATGTCTGGACATTGTCACACCATATTGTTCAGCCTCAAGTCATATAGTATGTGGTAACTTTGTAATAGATGATGACCAATAAATATTTTTATTTACAAAATGTGTTGGTTTTTTTTGTATGAATTCTTTCTCAGCTGTTTCTACAGATTATTCTGTCAAGTCATTATAATTTAGACATCTAATTTTTTAAAATATCTGAATGACCTTGATCTTCATACTCGTGTATTTTGTGTTACATCATGATGCAAGCATTTGTGTCTCGAGAACCTGCTTAAACAAGACATGATGTTGAAAATGACATCTTGCTCATAACATGTCATTTCTGCATGTCCTATGACTTGATGTGTTACAGAAACAGTGATCCAGATAAGCTGTGTGAACTATGGAGGAGAAGTCGTCATTACCAAATAGGTTTTAGGTTGCTAGCATACAAAAATACAAACAGTAGACCAGCATGAAGAATGTGCAAGACAGTGTCCTGGAATGGCCTTACTTAGCTTCATTGTTGATAAATAAACAGGTCACCTGCTCTACACTGAACACAGTTTGTTCATCTCCATTCTACTAGAACAGAATTAAACGCAAATTATTTGCTGTTGGCGAATGTATTGAGTGAAGCGGCATTGTTTGTTTTTGGTGGTTTTTTTACGCCTCACTCAGCAATATTCCAGCTATATGACGGCAGTCTGTAAATAATCGAGTATGGACCAGACAATCCAGTGATCAATATCATGAGCATCGATCAGCACAATTGAGATCGATAACATGCATCAACCAAGTCACCGAGCCTGATCACCCGATCCTGTTAGTCGCCTTTTACCACAAGCATGGGTTGCTGATGACCTATTCTACCTCGGATCTTCACGGGTTTGAAGCAGCATTGGTTGAGTTCAATGTCTTGTGTGGGTTTTCAAGACTGCATTAAGGAAACACCAATACCAGCCTTTAAACAAGGTATGGCGCTGTATATTCTCAGTCTTTTCACATCATTAAACTTACTCGCAAATATGACATGCATTGAAATTGTGCACAAAACCCCATGATAAGCCCAAATGAGGTGGGGACCACCCAAAACTAAGCAAGCATCACCATGTTTAGTTCTCACCACACATCACTATGGTGTATCTGTCCCCTTACTGTGATGCAAGTGATCTGATCCCAGCTACAGAAAAGTGCCTAATCTCAAATTCACCCTCTTCATGGATTCTGTCACGTTGTTCTGCCCACCATTCATTGTCACACATATTTGGAATATTGTAGTTAGAGTAATTCTGCATTTTGTAACCTATAATTGTACAGAAAATATTAAATATGTCCACTGATAATGACTGAGAAAGAAGTACTTTTCTGTAAGTATTAGCTGCCTCTATAGTGGTGATGTAGCCATCAAACCAGTTGTTTCAACGAGAGGTGCTTATTGTGATTTGATACCTCTGTATGAGCAATTAGAATTGAATCATTTCCAAATTTATAGTTGAGGTGTGTTAAGTGGTACTTCTGACTTCTCAAGGGGTGGTCGGGGAGCCTAGTGGTTAAAGCGTTTGCTCTTCACGCTGAAAGCCCATTTCTGGTGTCCCCGCCATGATATTGCTGGAATATTGCTGGAATATTGCTAAAAGCAGCGTAAAACCATACTCACTCACTCTGACTTTTCAAAGATAATTGAGTACTTGTAGCTTGTAAGGGATTTATTTCATGGAGCGTGGATGTGCACATTCCTATAATGTAGTTCGAATCAGCCCTAAAACATACAAAATTTAATAATAAACATGATCAATATGGATAGTATAATGGCACTAGATTATAACAATACTAATAATACATTTAGATTTACAGATCTTTCTTTTTGGCATACATACATTAGCAAATCCCTCAAGATAAAACAGATCACAGTTTATACAGAGCTAATCATTCATTATTGATGGAACAAGTATCGTGTCTCATCTCTGGGAACCTGACAAGAACCTTTCTATTCAGAGGTGCAGTGAATAGCCCTGAACAAATAAATACCTCTACAACTGTTCAAAGTGTCCATAAACCCAATTAACTCACATATTCATTCTTTCAAAACATACCCATATTTATCACATAAATCATGTAACATCATCTTCCCAAGGCAAGGGAGTTAACTGACTTTTATAAGTCCAGTTTCCAGCTACCCATCTTGCCTCGGTAACAGCTTATATCTAAATGACTGAACTGTCAGATATTCCACATATATCCATGTGCATTGACCCCACAACCGTTGCAATCACCATACATGGACTACAACCACCTCCGTGGAGTGGCAGAATAGTATTGATTAGTCATGGAGTAACTCGCTAAACAACAAAAAACAAAACAGATTATAATTACATAATATAATGCCAAAGATTTCCGAAGTATATAAAACAGTCTAAATGCTCAATATTAACATTTGAATAGAAGGAATGAAAAGTACACAAATTTGCATAGAATTACTGGAATCATCCTGGCGTCGAACTTGGAAACCACTTCTGGCTGTCGAAGCACTTTTAATGAAAATATGTTGATGAAGAGTTACCTACCTTGGAGCGGAGGGATCTATTTACTACTCGCATTCATTTGACGTAATATTGTCATTATAAAGAATTGTTACACCGTGACTATGACGTAGGTACAATTCTTGCATAATCGTATTGTTACACTTCATATTTTCTTGTATGCGAAAACGAACTTTATTTCGCGCATTGCGTTGTTACTTGGAGTGATCAGGATGTAAACAATATGGCGTCGAAAGGGCAGCAATGGTAGCAAGGTATGTGTTACTAACGACGCTATCTCTTGTTATCATAGACTGTCACAATATGGAATGCATAATATTAAATCAGCCAGTTTAGGTACTTTTCTGAGCGAAAACAGACTGTGTCATCTTTAGGTTACAAAGTGTACATTGTATTTTATATGCGTTGTGATGACGAGGGCCTACAAACTTCTCTCACCTGATTGATAACGCGACTCACGTTAATTGTTGTGGGCGTAAAGACTTTTTCACATGGAGAAAAATCTTCGCGAAAACATCCATTTATCATTTACATATATTTAGAACAAGGCTTTGTGCACAAAGTAAATATTACAGTACATGCCATTAATAAATAACAATTATGTGTGGGAATTTGATTAAGTATCCTTTGAGCTTATGCGGAGATATGATGTCATCTGGGCCAAGTATGTTAAATTGTGCATGCAGAAAAAGATGTATGCAATACTGAAATCGTCATCAAAACTTCACTGATAGTGGTTGTTCCTCCATGACCTGTGAAAGACCAATGAGCGGTGAGATAACATCTAACAAATGCAGTGTGTCATGTGTCATTGCCTTGTAGAATCTGGGAGCACCTTGAGAATACAGTACCACAACGTGCAAATTTACCTAGTCATGCCTACACCATTACGGTACTGAATGAAAAGGGTGGAATAGGTGACACGGCTGGGCATTGTGTCTCGTGACTTTAGTCTGCGGACATTTATGAGTAATCCCAATGCCATTTGGCACACTCGCCCTATTCCATAATATACAAGACACCAAGTGGTGAGGAATGAGCCGATATGGCTGAAAACATCGTCAAGTGTCAAAAGTTGAACTCGCGGGTACACATGAATGACATGGTATCTGATAATTCGTCGGGTGATTTTTTGTGACATAAAAGTGCGGTAAGGAACACTGTAAAGATAATGTGGATAATAGTAAGGACGAAGGAGGCATGGCTTGTGACGACTCAAAGGTGAGTTAGTTTTTGAAGCAGTACTGAAAAAATGTAGCAGGTGAAAGTGGCTTGTGTGAATGTTCCAGGACAGTTTTCAGTAGCCAAAATATTTGACACTAAACCATGTCACTTTGCTTTCTCAACGTTTTTGTGTGAAGAATATTAGGAGCTGCTATAAAATCTATAATAGCCACTAAACAGATACCTTACTGTAATAATCGTAAAGGGGTGATTGATATTAAAGGGGATCCAAGGGCTAAGTATAGAGGTTGGGGTTACCTACCCTAACACCAGTGACATTTGGATGTGTTCAGCGCAAATATAATATACCTAATAAACTGCATCCCTGTGCATAATAATGAAAATTAACGAATCAAAAAAATAATTTATGTATAGTAGTTCCCATTTATAATCATTTTAGCCACTTGAATTATGAAAAATCAAACCGAAATAATAAATATATTGAAAATAAGAGTGCTGTCATTAACTTGCGCTTGCCATAAAATGCGCCGCCACAGGCTATATTTAGCAAACAAATATTAAAAACTCTCTTTTTGAATGACATTGCGTGAAGAGATGATAGATCACTGGTAGGAGCTTATGCACACTCGATGTCCCCTGACATCACAGAGTATTGTTTTGCCTGTGTGACTGGTAACAAAATACTACAAATTACGTCTTAGGGTATTGTGATGTGTTTGAAAAGTTTGTGGTACTGTATTCTACAGGTAGGCCGGACTCTGCTTTACACATTGCTTCAAATTTAGGCAATGATAGGGTTCACACAAAGTTCAAGGCAGGGCTCATTTGATGTCTAAGAGTTATTACTGGCCTCATTTCATTAGCTGAGTAAAACTATTCGTCACTCCTATTCCACGAAGCATTCATATCCCATGATGGAGTAACATAGAGTATACAAACCAGTGGAAAATGGACCAGGCACAGACATAAGAAAGAAAGCTTTGGGCTTTCAAGGAAACTGTTTCACATATCACCTGCTCTGTATGATGTAACTTGCTGTTGACATCAACTGCGTTAGATATGATTTTAGCTTTAGCTGTATCATACTTAGTAATATATTATTATGTTTGTTAAAAGAGCATTCACTTGATTAATGTCGACTCATGAAAGAAGCTACCTCTATTTGTCTGGTCTAAAGTTCAAACATATAAAGACATCAGTGTTGACACTGTGCTTATTCTGTGTCACATTGGTACATGGAATTGACCTTACAATATGGCAGCCACATGCTTCATGAATAATGTCATATTCGGACAGCAATACTGATGATGTATTACAAGATCACACTTTGACCTATGACAACACTATCGTAAACACTATATGTGGTATAACAAATTATATTTTCCTTGACATTAAGGTACAACCTTTGACCTTTAAGTACCTCAATTTTTCTAATCCTACTGACTTTTTTACTTCCCTCTCAAACTACAAGGCCTATGAACAAATGTTGAATCTAAAATTTTGCAGGAAGATCCCAGCTATAGTGTCTCTAAAAACATCTTCCTGAGGCAAGGGAGTTAACTGACTATAAAAGTCCAGTTACCACCCTTGCCAAATATTGTTGTAGGTAATAGCCATGTTAGGTATGACCATTAACATGATGAGACCTGGCTCCAGATTTGATAGAGTATTCACTTACTGGGTTTACAGTTCTTGTATTACAACTTGTTACAAGTTGCATCATAATATGTTACTGTCTATGAAATGTCTGATAACTGTTCAGTGTAAATATCCATAACAACAACTTAAGCTTAAACACAAAAAATATATTTTGCTCCAATAGAAGTGCTTTGGATGTGACTTAGAGTAAATTAGACTGTTGATTATTGATATGTGATGTCTCAAAGATAGATGTTTGACAAGCATGTCCCTAGTTCCTTCATGATGTGCAGTGATGTTGCAGGTAACAGTCGCAGCTGTGATGAAGGCCCCAGCCAGATAACCAGTTCCATTATGTCAGGAGTGACTCCAGAGGGGCCAGACAAGCTCTCCAAGACTGACCCAGATGCTGTCCTTGCCATGGATCTGGAATACACCATCAACAAAAGAAACGAGAAATGTGTCAGCCCGTTTCCAAACTCATCAAATAAGTCAGTCAAGTCTAGAATGTCTGTTAAAAAAGAAGGAACCTCCTCATCACTGAAAACAAGAGCCAGACAGATAAAGGCACATGAGGTAAGTACAAGCATCACTTATAAACCTATTCATTGGGATCTCTATTAAGTAAGAGAGTTCTTTCTATAGGCATTAAAACCTATGAAGAGGTTTTACTTTCAAAGTAAAACCTATTAAGAGGTTTTACTTTCAAAGTAAAACCTATTATGAGGTTTTATTTTCGTTCTGGAGGTTTTACTTTGAATGTAAAACCTCAAATCCCAGGTTTAACCAAGTAACTGAAAAAATGACTACAAGTAGCAATTCAAAATTTTAATTCAATTAATATTGAATGTCATGTGTACAGTGAATGAAGACTGGGTAACAAAATGAAAGTCGCCGTCGCTCATCTTTCCACTTCAGAGTCTCTGGTGAAAGGACAGCGAGGTTTCAAAACACGTGCTTTAAAACAAGTGCTTATCAATGCTGCACAATTTGCACGTGAAGTAACTTCTAGCCGTTACGTCACAACTACCTCTGCGTAACAGTTGGATTGTTTAAAGTCGTAAATCTTGTAAAGCAAAAGACACCTTTTAAATTTTCGAATTTTCGTTTTGAAAAGTTTAAAAGAAGTGGAATATTGCAACACAAACATTTAGAGACCGAAGATTTCACTTTCATTTAAAAGTAAGTATTTTAGTTGTGTTTTGTTGTTGACACATCCAAGTGCTCTTGACCACCTGGCAAGTCAGCGAATTTCACATGCAAGTTATGATATCACGTCTTCAAGGAAGCGCTATACTGAATCGCCTCATTTATAGATGCTCGTTATAACATTTAATCAATTTAGACGGTTTATAAGTATGGAAACCACTTTCCCTCGGTTTTGGTAGACAGAGCATGCCCTGGAGGTCGGGAAAAACCGCGGGGGCTTCGTGAGCATGTTTTCTCCAATACGTATTAACCTTTTGCTTCCCTGGTAAACATCTACCTAAAAAACAATGACCTGTCATGCCTGAATTAACTTTTCTAAGAACAGTTTATACAAACCTGAATATCGCATGACATTTTGTTATTGATACTAAGCTTGCTGCCAATTTGGCCACTGAACCATTACACATAGGATAGAAAGAAAAGTTTTATAAGTCTTGCTTTGGAAATATTACAAATTAGTACTTTTAATATGTAATAAAATATGTTTTTCTTTGTACTTGTAAATTGATCGTGTTGAACTGTGCTGTCACATCAGATTGATTTCAGAAACAAAATATATATTGAAAGAAATAGCAGCATTCTCATTGATGTCACAAGAAACATATTCCATGTGAAAACTTCACTAGGCAAACCATCCTATATTTGTTTTTGCTCAATATTTGACATGGTTTATTTTTATTTATTCAGACATATGTGTCTTTTTGTGAGCATTATTTGTCGGTATCTAAGCAAGATAAAACACTCCTTGGTTATACCACAAACATAATCTGGGAGTTGTGTTTTGTCCAACACAAAAGTACTGATGTCTACAACTACCGGTAGTTAGTTTCACATCGCAGGTATGGGTTTTCCCCAACACCAAACATTGTATGGTGTGCATGTTGCAATGATATGTCACATTGTGTTGTATTTTTTAATAGCCTGAGCCGTTCTTGTCAGTGGACACCCTTCCAGATGATAAAAGAAATCTATCCACAGGTGTGTATGTCTATGTGGCTAACTTGTCAAATTGAAGGACATTTCTTATATGATAGTAAAGGAAATGTATGTACAATCTACTCTGGTTAAAACACCAGCATTTGTCCAGGAAGATTTGGGCGTTATAACCAGGGTGGCGTTACAACCAGGGAAGCCATTCTGCTCAGTCAAAACCAAGTCATACATGAATGCATGTACATATATATTTTTTAATCTTTTTAATCTTTTTTTTGCCGATGTGCTTCAATGGGATGATATAAAAGGTCATGATGGGTTCAACTCCATGGTTGGTTTGACAGACACATCCTCAACAATAACATGCATTTATCTGATTTGTAAACTGTACATGCTTCAGGTTGTTTGGAGAAAAAGTATACAAGTGTTTGTATATACTGGTATGTACATTTATTGTAACTGGCAGTTCAGTAAGTTTATACTCCATTATCACATGGTTATAACATCCTTCAAATGTTGCATCCATTTCATTGAGTTATGCAGAGTGCAGGGTATGTTCTCAGGGCCGTAATCTTATTGTACATATGAATGAATAATGTAAGACCTGAAACTGGTGATTCATCTCCATGCTGAGGAGATGATGTTTGCTCTGTACCTTAGCATAGAGTTTGTACAAACTGGACAGATATTGATACTGTGTGTCATCATAATTCCAATACACCCTCATGAAGCATATCATGTATATATCCTATCTTATGTAGACCGCCTCCGTGGTGTAGTGGGTAGAGTGTCTGCCGAGAGAGCGAAGGTCGTGGGTTCAATCCCCAGCCACATCATACCAAAAGATAGTAATAGATGGCACTAGTTGTTGCCCTGCCTGGCACTCAGGATTAAGGGGCTAAAACAAGGACTGGTCAGCTCAGAGTCAGTATACTGTGTCTGAGTGGGGTATTCATGTTATTACATTAAGTAATACGTTACCACTGTTATACCGAGGCTGTTGTCTCCCACAACTGCTGCTATAGCGAAATCTACCACAGAGATCTCAATTACCTCATGCAGCACGTGCGTAGCCACCTAGCTGCCATGTGACACCCTTCACTCTTGTCTCTTCGCTTGCTCTAGCAAGTAGTACAATAAACTGCTCAAGCGTTCCTGTTTCTCCGACCATTCGGTGATATTTATTACTGTTTATTCTCTCTAATAAACTGTGCTTTTACGGGGCGTTTGCTGTAACTACGCTTGGAAATATTTTTCCCGCCAAAAGGAAATATTTTTCCCGCCCTTTTTTTTTCTATATACTTGCGGGGTGTCTCGTATGCACGTTGCGTCTTACGTTCCCCTGTTCTAGTATATCTTGGGGTTTTTACATCACTTATTCCTCTATATGTTATATGTGTATGTTCTATATTCCCATTGCTCGTTTATTTTCTTGTGAAAATACTCGTTTGTGACTATTTGTGGTGCGTGTGTTGTAACCATGTTTTGCTCTTTGTTCATAGTACAAACAAAATGTCTGACATGGATGTTTTGCCGTCCTCCACCCCCTCTACCCCCGCAACCAGGAGCTGCGGGGTGTGCCGCAAGCGAGCGCTACCGGCTGTATGTGCAGTCCGTTTCCACCCCTGTGGTGGCCGGCTCGTCCTGTCGGGGTCCCCTTGCGGGTACCACCACCACGGCTGCGGCGGATCCCTTGGCGGCCCGTGGGCTGTCCGGGGTTTCCGTCGCTGCATTACTTGCATAACTTGTGGACTCCAAGCTGGCGGCCTTATCTCAGGATAGGCCACTGGCTGTTCCGTCCCCGGCCACTTCGGTGGCCGCGGGGTTGGACGGGGGGTCCACCAGGATTCGGGTTGTAGGTGCTCCCCACCGCCTACTGTGGTAGTCAGCCTCGGTATAACAGTGGTAACGTATTACTTAATGTAATTTGTAGAATTTTCCTATTCGGAATATTCTATAAGTAATACGTTACCACTGGGCTGCTGCCCGCCCGTCCGTCCCCCGAGCACTTGCTCTCGCAAGAGACAAGAGTGAAGGGTGTCACATGGCAGCTAGGTGGCTACGCACGTGCTGCATGAGGTAATTGAGATCTCTGTGGTAGATTTCACTATAGCAGCAGTTGTGGGAGACAACAGCCTCGGTATAACAGTGGTAACGTATTACTTATAGAATATTCCGAATAGGAAAATTCTACAAAATCTGTGGCTTATCTCACTGCATTAGTCCGGATTAGTACAAGCAGACCTACTCACATAGGCATGCACTTTGCTACATAAGTGCGATAATCTTGAATGCGTCGTTAAACCCCATTTCACCTCACCTCACCTCTATCTTTTGTGGTTAAAAATTAAGGATGAAATGGTCTTTGTCATATCGTTATCCTAATGTTATAAATTAAATATTAGGGGCCTTGGGTTCCAATATTACAGCAGCAAATCTCAGGGACCACAGGAGCCCCTATCATTTCCAGCATTGCTTTGTACAGAGATGGTGCAAAATATGAAATCCAATTATCATGTGATTATAATGTAAAAATGAATATGTAATAATCCTGTTGATACTTTTAGAGGGATCTGCTAGACATGATCGCCAGAGCGTGGCAAGGAGACAGTCCACCACCTGGGCCAAGCCTGTCACTCCCATCGGTCAGAGGGGGATGTCTCGCTTCTCCATGTACTCCTCTGCCAGCGTACCAGCCAGGTGGGTGAACTAATGATCTAGTGTACAGGGCAGGTGGGTGTGCTCATGACCTAGTGTATCAGCCAGGTAGGTGTATTCATGACCTAGTGTATCAGCCAGGTGGGTGTACTCATGACCTAGTGTATCAGCCAGGTGGGTGTACTCATGACCAAGTGTATCAGCCAGGTGGATGTACTCATGATCTAGTGTATCTGCCAGGTGGGTGTACTCATGATCTAGTGTATCAGCCAGGTGGGTGTACTCATGACCTAGTGTATCAGCCAGGTGGGTGTATTCATGACCTAGTGTATCAGCCAGGTGGGTGTACTCATGACCTAGTGTATCAGCCAGGTGGGTGTACTCATGACCTAGTGTATCAGCCAGGTGGGTGTACTCATGACCTAGTGTATCAGCCAGGTGGGTGTACTCATGACCTAGTGTATCAGCCAGGTGGGTGTACTCATGACCTAGTGTATCAGCCAGGTGGGTGTACTCATGACCTAGTGTATCAGCCAGGTGGGTGTACTCATGATCTAGTGTATCAGCCAGGTGGATGTACTCATGATCTAGTGTATCAGCCAGGTGGGTGTACTCATGATCTAGTGTATCAGCCAGGTGGGTGTACTCATGACCTAGTGTATCAGCCAGGTGGGTGTATTCATGACCTAGTGTATCAGCCAGGTGGGTGTACTCATGACCTAGTGTATCAGCCAGGTGGGTGTACTCATGACCTAGTGTATCAGCCAGGTAGGTGTACTCATGACCTAGTGTATCAGCCAGGTGGGTGTACTCATGACCTAGTGTATCAGCCAGGTGGGTGTACTCATGACCTAGTGTATCAGCCAGGTGGGTGTACTCATGACCTAGTGTATCAGCCAGGTGGGTGTACTCATGATCTAGTGTATCAGCCAGGTGGATGTACTCATGATCTAGTGTATCAGCCAGGTGGGTGTACTCATGATCTAGTGTATCAGCCAGGTGGGTGTACTCATGACCTAGTGTATCAGCCAGGTAGGTGTATTCATGACCTAGTGTATCAGCCAGGTGGGTGTATTCATGACCTAGTGTATCAGCCAGGTGGGTGTACTCATGACCTAGTGTATCAGCCAGGTGGATGTACTCATGATATAGTGTATCAGCCAGGTGGGTGTACTCATGAACCTAGTGTATCAGCCAGGTGGGTGTACTCATGACCTAGTGTATCAGCCACGTGGGTGTACTCATGACCTAGTGTATCAGCCAGGTGGGTGTACTCATGATCTAGTGTATCAGCCACGTGGGTGTACTCATGACCTAGTGTATCAGCCAGGTGGGTGTACTCATGATCTAGTGTATCAGCCAGGTGGGTGTACTCATGATCTAGTGTATCAGCCAGGTGGGTGTACTCATGACCTAGTGTATCAGCCAGGTGGGTGTACTCATGATCTAGTGTATCAGCCAGGTGGGTGTATTCATGACCTAGTGTATCAGCCAGGTGGGTGTATTCATGACCTAGTGTATCAGCCAGGTGGGTGTACTCATGACCTAGTGTATCAGCCAGGTGGATGTACTCATGATCTAGTGTATCAGCCAGGTGGGTGTACTCATGATCTAGTGTATCAGCCAGGTGGGTGTACTCATGACCTAGTGTATCAGCCAGGTGGGTGTACTAATGATCTAGTGTACAGGGAGGGTGGGTGTACTCATGACCTAGTGTATCAGCCAGGTAAGTGTACTCATGACCTAGTGTATCAGCCAGGTAGGTGTATTCATGACCTAGTGTATCAGCCAGGTGGGTGTACTCATGACCTAGTGTATCAGCCAGGTGGGTGTACTCATGACCTAGTGTATCAGCCAGGTGGGTGTACTCATGATCTAGTGTATCAGCCAGGTGGGTGTACTCATGACCTAGTGTATCAGCCAGGTGGGTGTACTCATGACCTAGTGTATCAGCCACGTGGGTGTACTCATGATCTAGTGTACAGGGAGGGTGGGTGTACTCATGACCTAGTGTATCAGCCAGGTGGATGTACTCATGACCTAGTGTATCAGCCAGGTAGGTGTACTAATGATCTAGTGTATCAGCCAGGTGGGTGTACTCATGATCTAGTGTATCAGCCAGGTGGATGTACTCATGATCTAGTGTATCAGCCAGGTGGATGTACTCATGATCTAGTGTATCAGCCAGGTGGGTGTACTCATGATCTAGTGTATCAGCCAGGTAGATGTACTCATGATCTAGTGTATCAGCCAGGTGGGTGTACTCATGATCTCGTGTATCAGCCAGGTGGGTGTGCTCATGATCTAGTGTACCACCAGGTGGGTGTACTCATGACCTAGTGTATCAGCTAGGTGGATGTACTCATGATCTAGTGTATCAGCCAGGTGGGTGTACTCATGACCTAGTGTATCAGCCAGGTGGGTGTACTCATGATCTAGTGTATCAGCCAGGTAGGTGTATTCATGACCTAGTGTATCAGCCAGGTGGGTGTACTCATGATCTAGTGTATCAGCCAGGTGGGTGTACTCATGATCTAGTGTATCAGCTAGGTGGGTGTATTCATGACCTTGTGTATCAGCCAGGTGGGTGTACTCATGACCTAGTGTATCAGCCAGGTAGGTGTACTCATGACCTTGTGTATCAGCCAGGTGGATATACTCATGATCTAGTGTATCAGCCAGGTGGGTGTACTCATGACCTAGTGTATCAGCCAGGTGGATGTACTCATGATCTAGTGTATCAGCCAGGTGGGTGTACTCATGACCTAGTGTATCAGCCAGGTGGGTGTACTCATGATCTAGTGTATCAGCCAGGTGGGTGTACTCATGACCTATTACAATGTAATGGTTTGATTCTCTTGCTGATCTGATATGTTCTTGGTAGCCTGTACTCTGTGCTCCACCAGGTTCCAATGATGGTGGAGATGGTTATCCCAGCTGCAAGATTGGATTGATAAGATTATGTCTTATGCACTGTATGTTGCTGCAGACACACCTTGACTCGGAGCAGCCGGAGTGGTGTGGCTACATCCATGTCTCACAGAACCATGCCTGCCGCCAATAACAAAGTCAGGACTTCAAACTCACACATCAAGATGCCATTCAAGCACTCCGTACACAAGCCTGTCGTCCCGGTGCCACCAGTTAGTATCAATGACTCTCTTCATTACCAACACTTTGTTTGTACTACATGTTTTGCAGCTGTAGAAGTTGTCTGTAAGGTATATGATGTTAGTTCTGTGTCACTAAGAGCTTCTGTTCAGTGGAACATGAGGAGTGTATGTGTATCCCCCCTCTGTGTGACAGGAGTCGGGGAGTCCCTCCCAGGAGCTGAAGGACCGGACGGCCCTGGCCACCTACCACATCAACAAGATGCTACAGCTGGACACTCAGGGCAGTGAACACAGGCCCAGGGGCAAACTCCTCAAAGCCAAGTAGGTATCAGAGGGACATAGTCCTCACATCTAGTGCATCAAATGTCCTTACTGACTTAAGTAACTGAAAAGATGGCACCTCCTAGTCTACATTCAGTGGCGATATTATTGACAACACTGACATTGGTATTTCAACATGTCCGACATGCTCTTTACATGATCTTGAGGTCACAGATCCTACCTTGTTCATGTTGTATATTTTCAACCATTAAATAAATCTACACATTAGTCATTTTCAGTCATGAATCCTACATTTTCCTTTCTTGAATAAGAATATTTTTTTATTGAATCACGGTTGAAAATAAGTACTTTGGCATGTAAATTTCTGGAAAATATACTCTGCAAACTGATGGTCATAGATCAACAGTCATTCGTGACAAACTTGACATACGTACCAATTTCCAGTTCCTGGTATTGTACACTGATTTCAGTACTTCTCTGTCACATATTGTGTACATATATCTGAATATTTGTGTTGAATATTTTGCACATATATCTGGACTGAAATTGTTCTTCCCTATTAGACAGGATCCTAATGTATCTTCAATGAATTATTAGTTTATCAAGAGAGTCATTATATACCATTTTACTATGCTTTGAGACAATCCTTTATATTACAAGGAACATTCATCTACTAACTCAAAAGAAAGTGTGTTATCTTCAATTTCTGTTGACCAGTCAACATGGTCTAGATGTTGTTATGAGACAGATATGGCACGATCAGTTTCTTTTTCAACTCTATATTTGGGCATGCACATTTTCACAGTTTCCTGATGGAAGTTGACAAAATATGATGAAGCCTGTTTCTGAAGAAAAAACAATGCATGTTGGTTCATGTTTGAGTTTTTTTTTTGGTAACTTTTTGTTTCTTATCCATTGTTAAAAAGGTTGACCTTATTTCATAATTTAATTTTTTTTCATAGCCGATGATAAGGTAGCATAATAAAAAGTTATCATGGTCCAATGTTTTTGTGTCTGTCTTATAGTTGTGTGTGATGGTTTCCACAGTAGCTCTACCACTAGCAGCTGTATGGAGACACTGTATGGGTATGTTGATGTCCTAGAAGCACAGTGTACTGAGTGATCCTACTAACGATGTAACAAGGGGCAGATGGGAGCGGAAGGGGGGTTGGGGGGAGTGTAGGTGGTGGTAGAGTGGGTGGGGTGGGGTGGGGTGGGGGAACAGCGTCACATTGTGCCCATATCTCTGAGCGGCTTCTACATGTTCTTGTGAAAAAAACAGACAACATTTGCTGAGTGGGTGCTGTGCTATAGAATGACTTGACAGGAACTGGCAAGTGGTTAGTGTTTACTCATGGTGTATTGCCTTGGCGCTAAGGTAGTCAAGGATTTAATCAGCTAGTTGTATGAATTAGGAACATCACAGGTCATTACAGAATATTGTGTCTGTGTTTATTATTGACGTAAACTTAATATTTAAGAAATAACATCACATTACTGCTACTGGGGAATGTAGTAATAATGATTTGCAGCTAAGATGATGGGTTTTGAGTAGTGTATTGACATAGAAAGTATGATAGTAATCTAGCATGTTGACATATATTCCACTCACATGCTGCACGTTGTTATTTGCTGGTCGGCCAGATGCAGTATTTATTGTCTGCACTGTTTGTGTTTTGCATGTTATGTGAATAACTGGTATGATGGTATCATATATGTATTCAAATCGTTTTCTTTACTTACTCATATGAGTTGACAACTTACATCATCATAATCATTGAGTTTACTTCTTTGTTGTTTAACACTGCATTCAGCAATATTCCAGTGGTATGACAGTGGTCTGTAAATAATTAGTGGACCAAACAATCCAGTGATTGACATCATGAGCATGGATCCACATAATTGGGATAAGTTGACATGCATCTACCAAGTCTCAGTGAGCCTGACCACCAGATTCTGCTAGTCACCTCTCATGACAAGCATATAGTCGTCTCTTACGAAAAGCATAGGCACCACTGACGACAAACATAGTAGCATCATAGGACAAGCATTGGTTGCTGAAGACCTATTCTAACCCAGATCTTCACGGGGGACAAGCATGGGTTGCTGAAGACCTATTCTAACCCAGATCTTCATAGGGGACAAGCATGGGTTGCTGAAGACCTATTCTAGCCCAGATCTTCACGGGTCCATAATCATCAAGTACTCTACATGACATTGTTTTGTTGTACAGAAAACATGTCCAGATTGCTATAGTGGCTTCATACTGTCTATGTTGAAAATGTCAGCTGGCTGGTTGTGTGTCCTCACAGATGGACATCATGCTGACCACTTGTTTGCCTGTACCAGCAGACCATCTGGACAATGCTGAATACAACACCTACATCGGTATATGTATTGCCGACTGACTTGATCCGCCTTGTAGATACAGTGTTTGATTTGATAGTGGCAGCATGCTTGTAGGGTCAAGTAGCCTTTTGTGCTTAGTAAGTCAAGTAATGTGTAGAAAGCCAGGTGTCCAGTGAAGATTCCAGTTGGTCTTCAGCTATCCAACTAACGGGATCGAGAGGTCAGGCTCGCTGACTTGGTTGATGCATGTCATCATATCTCAATTGCATGGGTTGATGCTCATGATGTTAATCACTGGATTGTCTGGTCCAGACTCGATTATTTACAGACTGCCATCATATAGCTGGAATGTTGCTGAGTGCAGTATGAAACAACAAACAAACAAGAAAGCTAGATTGGATTATGGGGAACAAGCTTGCTAGGGCTGGGACTGTATGATGCTAACTATGTGGACATATGCATGGTGTGATGAAGCTGTATTGTGCGTGGTAATATGATACTGACAGCACCTCACCATTGTCTTCGCCTTGCAGCTGTGATCATAGGAATGTGATAGATTATTTTGTTTCCAATGCACTTATTCCATGTTTCAGAGATGACCTGTATTCCTGAAAGCCTTTTTTTTTTAAACTGGCCCCTAAAGTTATACCCCTTGTTCGTAAGGGCTGACTAAAAGTGGTGGGATCTTCAAAATGTACGATGTGGTGGACTGTGTGTCATCGTATGCCAACGTTGTCGATTGATGCGTATATGATGAGTCGTTGTAGATCTGTATATGCTGCAGTGATATGGCTGTAATCAAGATTAGATTACTGAGGGGGTGGTCACGAACAACTCCCTCCCCAGCCCTCCTCTTGTGCACACCCCTAACACCTGTGTTTCTGTCTTGTGATTGTTTACTGGATATTGTTGCAGACTGAAGCCACTCTACCCAGTCAAAGTTCAAGGCCCACACATTGAACACTGTAGAGGAATTGTTGCAGGTATCAGTCCAAAGTTTTTCATTGTGTTTATTTTTCCTTTTTAGATTGTGATTGTCAGTCATCATTGATATCCCTCATGACATGATGCTGTGAATAACAAGCTTTATAGTCACATAATAGGGGTTTCTGTTACATCTTAATGTGTTCAAAATGATCAAGTTCTTCAAAAAAGAGTGTCTATGGATAATGTATATTGTCAAACACAAGAATTGGGTACAGGCTATGTCTACATAAAATTATTATTCTGACCCTGTCATTGGGTGGCTATAATATAGTTATATGTGTGATCTCCTTGTTCCAGACACACATTCGTACAGCGCCAGCCCGAGCAAATCCTTGCAGCGCAGGAAGCAGATTATGTCCAGTATGAATGCTGGTGAGCTGAAGGACCTGATGGACCGACCACGGACTGTGGAGTCTATACACCGCACATCTGTCGCCTCCAGTGTGGATGACAACCGGGACAACTTGCTGGAGGAAGACATCCGGCAGCTCACTCACGGGTATGTTGGAAGTGCAGCCCCATCAGGGGACACGGGAATTTAGGGAGTGCAGCCCCATCAGGGGACACAGATATTTGGGGAGTGCAGCCCCATCAGGGGAGACGGGTATGTGGGGAGTGCAGCCCCATCAGGGGACACGGGTATGTGGGGAGTGCAGCCCCATCAGGGGACACGGGTATATGGGGAGTGCAGCCCGATCAGGGGACACAGATATGTGGGGACTGCAGCCCAGTCAGGGGACACAGGTATGTGGGGAGTGCAGCCCAATCAGGGGACACAGATATGTGGGGAGTGCAGCCCCATCAGGGGACACAGATATGTGGGGAGTGCAGCCCCATCAGGGGACACAGATATGTGGGGAGTGCAGCCCAATCAGGGGACACAGATATGTGGGGAGTGCAGCCCCATCAGGGGAGACGGGTTTTTTTGGGAGTGCAGCCCCATCAGGGGACACGGGTGTGTGGGGAGTGCAGCCCAATCAGGGGACATGGGTATTGGGGAGTGCAGCCCCATCAGGGGACACAGATATGTGGGGAGTGCAGCCCAATCAGGGGACACAGATATGTGGGGAGTGCAGCCCCATCAGGGGAGACGGGTTTTTTTGGGAGTGCAGCCCCATCAGGGGACACGGGTATGTGGGGAGTGCAGCCCCATCAGGGGACACGGGTATTGGGGAGTGCAGCCCCATCAGGGGACACAGATATGTGGGGAGTGCAGCCCAAACAGGGGACACGGGTGTGTGGGGAGTGCAGCCCAATCAGGGGACATGGGTATGTGGGGAGTGCAGCCCCATCAGGGGACATGGGTATGTGGGGAGTGCAGCCCAATCAGGGGTGACGGGTATGTGGGGAGTGCAGCCCCATCAGGGGACATGGGTATGTGGGGAGTGCAGCCCCATCAGGGGACATGGGTATTTGGGAAGTGCAGCCCCATCAGGGGACATGGGTATGTGGGGAGTGCAGCCCCATCAGGGGACATAGGTATGTGGGGAGTGGAGCCATCAGGGGACACAGATATGTGGGGAGTGCAGCCCCATCAGGGAACACAGGTATGTAGGAAGTGCAGTCCCATCAGGGGACACAGGTATGTGGGAAGTGCAGCCCAATCAGGGGACACGGGTTTGTTGGAAGTGCAGCCCCATCAGGGGACACGGGTGTGTGGGGAGTGCAGCCCCATCAGGGGACACGGGTATGTAGGAAGTGCAGCCCCATCAGGGGACACAGGTATGTAGGAAGTGCAGCCCCATCAGGGGACATGGGTATGTGGGGAGTGCAGCCCCATCAGGGGACACAGATATGTGGGGAGTGCAGCTCCATCAGGGGACATGGGTATGTGGGGAGTGCAGCCCCATCAGGGGACACAGATATGTGGGGAGTGCAGCCCCATCAGGGGACACGCGTGTATAGGGAGTGCAGCCCCATCAGGGGACACGGGTGTATAGGGAGTGCAGCCCCATCAGGGGACACGGTCGTGTAGGAAGTGCAGCCCCATCAGGGGACATGGGTATGTGGGGAGTGCAGCCCCATCAGGGGACACGGGTATGTAGGAAGTGCAGCACCATCAGGGGACACAGGTATGTAAGAAGTGCAGCCCCATCAGGGGACACAGATATGTGGGGAGTGCAGCCCCATCAGGGGACACGGGTATGTGGGGAGTGCAGCCCCATCAGGGGACACGGGTATGTGGGGAGTGCAGCCCCATCAGGAGACACGGGTATGTGGGGAGTGCAGCCCCATCAGGGGACACGGGTGTGTGGTGAGTGCAGCCCCATCAGGGGACACAGATATATGGGGAGTGCAGCCCCATCAGGGGACAAGGATGTGTGGGGAGTGCAGCCCAATCAGGGGACATGGGTATGTGGGGAGTGCATCCCCATCAGGGGACATGGGTATGTGGGGAGTGCAGCCCCATCAGGGGACACAGATATGTGGGGAGTGCAGCCCCATCAGGGGACATGGGTATGTGGGGAGTGAGGCCCCATCAGGGGACACAGATATGTGGGGAGTGCAGCCCCATCAGGGGAGACGGGTATGTGGGGAGTGCAGCCCCATCAGGGGACATTGGTATTTGGGGAGTGCAGCCCCATCAGGGGACACAGATATGTGGGGAGTGCAGCCCCATCAGGGGACATTGGTATTTGGGGAGTGCAGCCCCATCAGGGGACACAGATATGTGGGGAGTGCAGCCCCATCAGGGGAGACGGGTATGTGGGGAGTGCAGCCCCATCAGGGGACCCGGGTATGTAGGGGAGTGCAGCCCCATCAGGGGACACAGGTATGTAGGAAGTGCAGCCCCATCAGGGGACATGGGTATGAAGGAAGTGCAGCCCCATCAGGGGACATGGGTATGTAGGAAGTGCAGCCCCATCAGGGGACACAGGTATGTAGGAAGTGCAGCCCAATCAGGGGACACGGGTGTGTAGGAAGTGCAGCCCCATCAGGGGACATGGGTCAGTGAATGTTACATGCATTGTTAACTTCTTCGTTTTTAGTATCATCTGAAACTATAGAGACCATGAACAAAGTGATGAATCGTGGATGTTCTTGGCAATAAATTTCATGTTAATATTTCCACCTTTGTGAGGAAGATGTTCCTGTTGTACATTACTAGTTGTGACTTTGTTATGGGTTGTCAGGCCTGGTTTCCAGTTCCAAGCACAGGGTCTGTGGGTTTATTGCAGTAATAATTCTGTGTTTCAGGGTTCCCCAAGCTTCCTCCTCCTCCACCTCCTCCCTGCCCAGTGTGATGACAGTTCCGTCACAGACTCAACAAGGTAGACCAACACACAGCTACTTCATTGCAGGAGTGTCCTGCTGTTAAAGCAAGCTGCCTGATGGAATGATCATCCTAGTTACTGAGAAAGTCCAGTACTTTGTACTACCTTCAGTCCTTGACAATGCAAGGCCCATAATGACGAAAGAGTTGTTATCCCCTCCTTCTTTTCACTTGGTGTTTTACTGCATGATCTTCAAATTCATGAATGGAAGTTTAATGTTTTACAGTGGAACAAAGCTATGCTTGAATCCCTCATCGTTTCTTTAGCAAACATCTCAAATAGTGTCTTGCCACCACAGGTATTTTATAAACCCATATTTACAAAATCAGTCACAAACAATTTTAGCATCACCATGTTGATTGTGTTACATGAGATCAAGCTAAACATGTGATTGAGATTGAAACATGTGATACGATGCTATTTGGCAGGTTCACTCCAGGGGTAGAGAATGTTACAGAGAGTTAGTCTCACGACATGTTCTCTCAGTACATCCTTATTAGTCACTGAAGGTTTGTGCTCAAATGCACAGTTGTTAAATTAAATGAATACATGAAATATTTGGAACTGTTATATCTAATTACATTAAGTAATACGTTACCACTGTTATACCGAGGCTGTTGTCTCCCACAACTGCTGCTATAGCGAAATCTACCACAGAGATCTCAATTACCTCATGCAACACGTGCGTAGCCACCTAGCTGCCATGTGACACCCTTCACTCTTGTCTCTTCGCTTGCTCTAGCAAGACGTACAATAAACTGCTCAAGCGTTCCTGTTTCTCCGACCATTCGGTGATATTTATTACTGTTTATTCTCTCTAATAAACTGTGCTTTTACGGGGCGTTTGCTGTAACTACGCTTGGAAATATTTTTCCCGCCAAAAGGAAATATTTTTCCCGCCCTTTTTTTCTATATACTTGCGGGGTGTCTCGTATGCACGTTGTGTCTTACGTTCCCCTGTTCTAGTATATCTTGGGTTTTTTACATCACTTATTCCTCTATATGTTATATGTGTATGTTCTATATTCCCATTGCTCGTTTATTTTCTTGTGAAAATACTCGTTTGTGACTATTTGTGGTGCATGTGTTGTAACCATGTTTTGCTCTTTGTCATAGTACAAACAAAATGTCTGACATGGATGTTTTGCCGTCCTCCACCCCCACTACCCCCGCAGCCAGGAGCTGCGGTGTGTGCCTGAAACCGATCTTCCCATCCTCGCTGATGCCATCGGCAGGTTGGTGGAGAAGGGGCAGTACGGGAGTTAGCTCTACCAGAAATAACACCGGGGTTTTACTCCAGGATATTTCTCGTTCCCAAGTAGGACAGTGCCGAACTCAGAATGATTCATACGTCCGCTCCCTTGCTGTTCACCCGGTTCACCACCCCCATAGTGGGGTTCCTCCACAGGAGGGCTGTCAGGTACTTCGTGTACCTGGACGACTCGCTAGTTGCAAATTGAATGACGGATGTGCTGTCTCGTCAGCTCGATTTTGCACTTTGGCTCTTGGAGCAATTGGGGTGGATTGTCAATCTCCCCAAGAGCGAGTTAACCCCCTCACAGAACTTGAAGTTCTTCGGAGGTCGGTTCGACACGGTGACCCATCGCCTCTTTGTCCCCCCAGATCGGTGGCACAAGATTCAGGCGATGATTGCCAAAGTCTTAGCGGTGCCACAGACTGTTTACTTTTGGGAACAGCTGTTAGGGCTACTTGTGTCCGCCCTGGACTGCACCGACTCTGCCCGCTGCAACGGTTTCCAATCCATTTGTAAGCACAGGAGGAGAACAGTGCGACCGTCGTCCTCGTAGATCGGCTCCGCCCGCATCTGGAGTGGTGGACGGTCCCTTACAATGTCTTATCAGGAGTTTCTATGCGGCCCTACCGGGCCACGTTGAACCTGTATACAGATGCCTCTCTAGTGGGCTGGGGCGCCCATCTAGAGGGGGAGGTGAGCTCGGGGCTGTGATGCGTAGACGAACTAGGTCTTCACATCAATTGTCTCGAGTTCAAGGCAGTGATAAACGCAGTCAATCACTGGAAGCATGCTCATGCTGGCAACCGACAACACGACGGTAGTGTCCTATGTGAACAAACTGGGGGGAACCCACAGTCACTCGCTACTCGATCTCACGTTCGAGTTTTACGCTCTGGTGGACAGTGTCCCGTGCCAGATAAGCGCCCGTCACATCCCAGGTGTGCGGAACGTACTGGCCGACGCTCTATCGAGGCCTCGGGATCCGAGCCCCACAGAGTGGATGCTCAACCCAGTAGTGTTTCAGTGGCTGTGCGAACGTTTGGGTCGTCCGATGGTCGACCTGTTTGCAACCGGGTTCAACAATCAACTCCCGTTGTTTGTATCACCAGTCCCGGACCCGAGGGCCATCGATCACGATGCTCTCGCGTTAGACTGGACGGGCATGGACGCTTATGCTTACCCACCGACGGCGTTGATACCCCTCATTCTAAGCCGGCTCCGAGGAGTTCGCTGTCGAATATTACTGATCGCGCCCATGTGGCAGAACAGATCGTGGTATCCTGACTTGCTGACCCAGGTCACGCAGTCGCCACTTCCACTGCCTGTGAGACCAGATCTCCTGATCCACCCTCACACCCGTCAGCTTCATCCAAACGCAGGGCAGTTCAATCTGCACGCGTGGATGTTGTCACCGAGCGTCTGAGGAGTAAAGGTTTTTCTCGTCAGGCGTCTCGGGCATACGTTAGTATGCATCGTGATTCTACCCATAAGGTGTATAATGCACGTTGGGTTATTTTCACGAAGTGGTGTTGTAAACATCACATTCATTCGCCAGATAAGTTATCTGTGCAGGATATTGCTCGTTTCATGTCTTACTTACGAGAGACCCGGAAACTCTCCGGGGGTTCCATTGCCAACTATGTCTCTTCCGTTGCTACGGTAGGGGACGTTGCTATGGGTACCAGTCTCTCATAAGAGCCGGTGATTCGGGGTATTATCAAGGGTTTCAAACAGCAAGATCTTCAGAAAGGCCGCCTTCGGGCACCGGCCTGGGATCTTTCCTTAGTGTTGAAATCACTTACGGAAGCTCTGTATGACCATTTTATTGTCTGTCGTGTATCCCAACCTTGTGGTGCATGCTTACAAATACTGGAATTAGGTCACGCGCCTAATGCATACTTTCAGTAGGCTTGCTCTGGGATATACAGTGCGAATGAAATTAATTACCCTCTTTTGGACTGTTTAACCTGATCTAAGATTTAGCTCACGCGGATACAGTGTTCTCATCCGCTGCGGCGATGAAATACCTATCCAGTGGGGCCGTTTGGAGTCACCAATCGTTTTGGCAATGAAGATTAAGCCTTACGGTATGCGCTTGACAGTGCTTTGATATTCCTATAGGGTAACGCCGAGCTAGGTGCATGCGCATCGAGTGCTTCCGCCTTGGTGTTTACTTCCGCTGGTCGGAAGGAACGCTAGCAGTCAGGATTCGGGTTGTAGGTGCTCCCCGCCGCCTACTGTGGTAGTCAGCCTTGGTATAACAGTGGTAACGTATTACTTAATGTAATTTGTAGAATTTTCCTATTCGGAATATTCTATAAGTAATACGTTACCACTGGGCTGCTGCCCGCCCGTCCGTCCCCCGAGCACTTGCTCTCGCAAGAGACAAGAGTGAAGGGTGTCACATGGCAGCTAGGTGGCTATGCACGTGCTGCATGAGGTAATTGAGATCTCTGTGGTAGATTTCGCTATAGCAGCAGTTGTGGGAGACAACAGCCTCTGTATAACAGTGGTAACGTATTACTTATAGAATATTCCGAATAGGAAAATTCTACAATTTTGCAATCAACATTGACTCTACCAAAATTCACAAAAGGACACCAGCACAGTTTGTAGCATGGCTGATGCAAGTTAGTAAATAATACTTAGTATATGATTTTTTATCGAACATGACAAATTTTGTTTATTAATATGTCCAATATAATGGCTTCCTTAATCTATATCTCTTACAATTATTACAAAGTATGAAAGGTGAACCTACTGTCATATCACTTCCTGTACATTTCTCTCATTGTAATCAACATGTAATTTGATGCCTCTTATGTTATGATGACTATGTACCCTCTGGAATGAATAAAAACAATTTAAAAAATTAAAAAATAAAAATATGTCCAATATATGATCTGATTGTAAACAACTACAAGCCACATTGCAATAACCCTTGGTGCAAGTGTTTATGTTACTGTTATGTTAGTGCCTGATTACTACCAGAAACAATGTTTCTATTTTTAGGTATTAGTGAAGTGACTCAGCCCTCAGACTTGTCCTCTGCATCTCCCATTCTTTCACCCGAAGCCAGTGAGACCCAGCTCCGAGGATCATCTCGGGACTCAGGCAGAGACTCCAGCACAGTGTTCCTGACATCCGGCAGAAGTGTGGAGGCTCTGACTGATGACCCTGTGTTAGGGGAGGTAATTCCACCTGAAGTGGAAACTGCATCAAGGGAGGTAATAGAGATGGTCGAAATGCTGGAGAAGAGAATAAGTCTTCTTGGAAACGACACAAAGGACTTGATGGAAGCGAAGGGCCGAGATGATGACATGGAGGCTGAGAAGTGCACTGGTGGAGCATGTGATAAGATGACCGATGTGATGGCTGATACTGCCCAGGAGGAGCACCAGAGTGGGAACTCATCAGTCGAGGGAAGAGTCCGACCATATAGTGCTACAACCCAACTCACTCACAACTTCAGACCAACAGGAACCAGACCCCTCTCAACTGGCGATTTGTCTCGTCGTAAAAGTACAAATAAATCAGTTCGTTTTGCTGATGAGGCTGAAAGCCCCACAGTAGAAGCATGGAATAATGCAATGGTTGACAAGGACTCCAATAATAATGCATATGAAAGTGAGGGTAACATGCATTCTTCCTCTAACAACTCTAAGTCACGATGTAAACCCAGTGAGATAGAACTGAGCAAAGAACCTGAGGATCCTGATGATGACAAAGAGAATTATTCGCCAAAGAAGTCAGTGTATTTTCCATCTTCACAGACATTTTCACAAACTTTGGCTTCAACAACAACTCAACAATGCATCCCAAATAAAACTCCTGACAAGACAACAAGGGATGCTACTGAAGCTGCTACTCGCACATCCTTCATGGAGGAATTCCTTGCACATGCAGCACCTGTTGATGATTCAGTCTGTTCCGTCAGCTCGGAGGAGCCCCTGTATGATGCTGTCCAAAAGGAAAGGAGGACATGTGAAGACAAAGAAAAAGGTACAAGGCCATTTCCACTTGTTTCTCTGTCAGAGAGAATTGCAGCTGCAAACATTTACATGACAAAATCTTCATGTGAAAGTATGCCTGTCATTGAACTGGACAAGGTACGAACAGAGGATGAGGATGAGGAGGACATAGAGGTCATCTTGGTATCTGATCCACCACTTGACGAAAAGTTCATGGAATCTGATCCATCAGTTAATGTAACTTTCTCATCTCATGATATGTTGAATCAGTTTGAACATTGTTATGGCAGTGTGAACAATTTGATAGAGAAACCACCTGTCACTAATCGTAGAAAGAAAACTAAGGGAAGGGCAACAACAGCCTCTGAATCTAAAAAACGTCCTACCTCTCCTCCTCGTCCTGGAAGTCCTGGCAGAACCCAAAGGAAGGAAAGTAACTCATCCTCAAGAGGAGGAAGGGGGAAGAGGAGCGACTCGCCTTCAAAGCCCTCTTCATACAGGGTAGGAGCAAGACATCATTACCCATCAGATCTGATCGACAGTGGTGTTGATGCTGCATCTGATAAACCCATATGTAAGACAAATTTCCAAGGACAAGGTAAATCTCGTTCCACTCGCATAAGACCAAATAGCGGCCACTCTGTCAGTAGTTACAGCAGTCAGACAAGCAGCACAAGTTCAGGCAGATTAAAAAACAACGTACCAAATTTGAAGTTGAAAAATCCAAATGAATCTCATGTTGATGAGGAAATTGAGGCCCTCACATTTGATGACCTGGACCATCAAATAGATTTGATTCAATCTGAGCTGAAGAAAAATATTGATCAGCAGGCTCAACTCCTGAGCGAGACAGAGCATCTTCGTCACTCACTAAAAAGTAGAGAGGACCTTTACCCAGGTCCAGATAAGGCTGATGACAAGGATGGAGGATCTGTTTGGTGTCCAGCCTCATCCCTTGGGCTTCAGTCTGATGGCTACTACCAGTCACTTCTCACGGCCTACCGGAAGAAGTGTATGGACATGAGTGAGAACTGTCTGATGATTAGTGAACACATCACAACTCCAAGATGGCAGGTGGCAGACACAGGTTCAGGGGGAACTGGGAGTGAAGAAAAGGCAGCTGAAACACCTGAAAGCATATCTCAGAACACGGAGGAGAAAGTGTTACATACAGAAGATTCCTCAACTACGGACAGAAGGGATGGATCTGAAGAAAGTCCAGAGCATGACACTGGTTGTGAAGGACTGACTGAGATTTCAGACAAGGAAGACGAAGCTGGCGCACCACCAGAGAAAGCAGACAGTTTCCTGCGGATGTTGTGTACAACTGTGGAGGAGGTGGAACAGGTATGTAACCGTGACAGTAACAACCATGGTAAACATATATTACAACCCTTGCTTGCATCTATTATGTATTTATATAAGTTTTGAAGTAAACAGATTGGTAGCTAGCCTTGTTAGCTGACAGCAATGTCTGGGCCTGATGAGGGCTCGGTAGAAGCAGATAGAACTACCCATGTCATCAAGTAAACACAAGCACTTGGATCAATTGACATAATGAGTGAACGAGTATGGTTTTACTCCGCTTTTAGCAATATTCCAGCAATGTCACGGTGGGGACAACGGAAATGGGCTTCACACATAGGTTGATATATAAGCTGTAAGAAGGAACCTCAGAATTGGCCAGTGCTTGTTCAAGGTTCATACAGCCTTGAAAAGGCCTGAAAGTATTAAAGTTTGTGACAGACTTAGTTTTGTTTATTTCTTGATTGTGAAAATAAATCTTGTTGGAAAATGTGTGAAAATGAAGTATGCTGGATTTATAAAAAATGTTGACAAACTAAGACTTATTGCCAAACTAAAAAAGGTTTGAAAATGACAGTTGTAAGCCTTGAAAAGGCCTTGAATATGAGGTACAATATATGGAGTTCATTTGTAGTGATTAATGCCTTGATATAAATATATTATTGGTGAAATCAGCATCACCCTTCACATGCCGACATCTTCACATGTTTCATATGAGCAGGGAAGTCGATTCACTACCATGGTTACAGAATGATTGTAGTTGTAATATGTTTCTTTGTAGTAAGGTGTATGTGTAGATATACAAACAAACATCTCTTGTATATTTCAGCCCATTGTGAAGCCTACTTGTTTGGAGATAGGGTAAGTGTTTTTCACCCAGAGCCTGTCTATATCTTGTTTTCCTGAAGAATGAAGGTGGCAGCTCGACACAAGACCATCTGACTTGATGAGCCGACTTTCTTCTTTTGAATAGTTTGTTTTATTCTTGTTCAAGTAGATTCTGAGAAAATCAAACTGTTCTTGTAAGCATGTTATTTCACTTGTAAAAGATGTTACAAAAGACTTGAGTGACATTGATTGTTGAGTTTGCAGTTCCTATTGCCTGTTGCAGACAAGACCCCATCTCCACCACCAAGGATCTTAAAGTTGTAGCAACAACCAAGGAATTATCAAAACAGAAGTATGTACTTCAAATAAAGAGGTTTGCTGAGAAAACCCCATTTTGTCTGATAAAAACTGATGCTTCAAATGATTCTTCCAAACTAGTATCTTCTCTTTGGTCCTCTGTACATGTTGTACGTGCATACAGTATACATCTGACTTACTCAAAATGCTGCAGTCAAACGTGAAGAAAAACAATCAACATGATCAATGCTTCAAAAAGCAGCATCTTTAGATGACCGATGCCACGTTACTGTAGTGTATGCCTGATATCATCAAATGGTTCTCAGCATGTTAAGTTATTATTACAATGCATTACTGGACTTATTGACAGAACGAAGTGCATGCCGAGTCCCTAGCTCATGAGTGTATTGTTTGGATGTCCTACAGAGTGAAGACAGCTGAGAAACCATCTGCTCCATTCCCTCCTTTGTGCTTCGCCATCAACGCCCGGCCACCACAGGGGTGTCTGTACTACTTCGCCTACGGGGCAGACATGAACACTGACAGGTACACCACAACAAGATCTTGATATACTACATATCACGATACATACGTCACGATACAATAAGTATTGCGATATGCAGATCTACGTCAAATGGCATGAAAGACTATCACCTAATATTTCAGAGTAGGTTCAAAAGGAAAAACGAGGTGTAGACACATGTTTGTAGCAGTTACTTTTTGTAGTGAAGGTGAAACGCTGATTACAACTCAGGTTTTCGATATATGACTGAAGAAAACGCTGGTGCTCATTTAATGAGTAGTATGTAAGTGTTTTCCCAAATATATAAACATTTGTTACAAGGTTCAAACAAACCTTCAGCTTGTAGATTGTTAGATGTAGTGTATAGTAGGGGTGAAATCGTGAGTTTTCATGTGATAATACGATGCATGATAGGTTTGTTTCTGCATTGCTACAAGATGATACACTTGCTGAAATAAATTTCTCAGTAAAGTACAGATTCTAGTACTTTTAGGGGTTGAGTCCTATTGGGGATTCCTACCCACACTGCCAAGAGTTAGTCACCTAATCACCAGCACACAAAGTCAGTGAACTAACCTACTCAGCCAGCAATGTTTGTGATCTACACTACCAGTTGTCAGACTTTCATTTTGTAAATTGTATTGCATGAACTATGTAGTCTGAGTACTGAGGACCAGGTTTTGTCCTCCAGGATGAGCCTGTACTTGAAGAGAGATGTCAGTCAGCGGTTCTGGGGGCTCCTCATGGGGTTTAGTCTGGTCTTCAACAAGAAAGGTATGTACATGCCTGAAAGGAGGGTCTCCACTACACCACTACACAACTTGTGAAGCACTACCATCCTGTTCAAAGTTGTATTAAACCCAACTCACTCACTATCACTTCCATCATTTAGAATGTAAGAGAGGATTGATTCAGATTTACCAGTACATGTACGTGGAGAGAACTTGATATCTGTTTGTGTTCTCATGCCAGCTTGTATCCCCAGGTGCAGATGTTGAGGCAGGAGGCTTCCCCAACATAGAGTTCAACCCTTTCTGCTCTGTGGAGGGCTGTGTGTATCAACTGACTCCAGGGGATCTCAGTGTCCTGGACAAGTGTGTTGGAGTTCCACAGGTACAAACCTCTATTGTAGTAGTTTCTGTTGTATCACTTTGCTCATGATTTCTCCTGACTATGATCCTTGCCTTTCAGCATCATTACCACGCTTGTGGATGTCGCCTAAATAATATATGTCTAGGACCTGCTTCAGTGTGGTCTTACCTCCAACATCAAGTTGACATACCATGATAAAACTAACATGAACTCAAACTTACTTTCTTACCTAGCCTCGGTATGTTCATATGAACTAGTTGGTACAATGTCTTCATGTCAAGAAACAACTTGCCCAACCTGAAACAGTTGATGTGTTGATGACCAAGTGAAAGCCCTGTAGACAACATGTTGTCAGTGATAACTTACATACTGTGTCTGTGTTGCCAGCATTACTGCCACGTGGTCCTGCCTGTGTGGATGTCCAACACCACAGACCCAGACAAACTCGGAGTGGCTCAGTACTGTGTGCCAGCCACCATCTACATAGCACAGGATGAATGGGTGGACAGAGGTAAGCACTGACTGTCATCTGTGTAGCACAGGACGAATGGGTGGACAGAGGTAAGAGCTGACTGTCATCTGTATAGCACAGGACGGATAGGTGGACAGAGGTAAGCACTGACTGTCATCTGTATAGCACAGGACGGATAGGTGGACAGAGGTAAGCACTGACTGTCATCTGTATAGCACAGGACGGATGGGTGGACAGAGGTAAGCACTGACTGTCATCTGTGTAGCACAGGACGAATGGGTGGACAGAGGTAAGAGCTGACTGTCATCTGTATAGCACAGGACGGATAGGTGGACAGAGGTAAGCACTGACTGTCATCTGTATAGCACAGGACGAATGGGTGGACAGAGGTAAGCGCTGACTGTCATCTGTGTAGCACAAGACGGATAGGTGGACAGAGGTAAGCGCTGACTGTCATCTGTGTAGCACAGGACGGATGGGTGGACAGAGGTAAGCGCTGACTGTCATCTGTGTAGCACAAGACGAATGGGTGGACAGAGGTAAGCGCTGACTGTCATCTGTGTAGCACAAGACGGATAGGTGGACAGAGGTAAGCACTGACTGTCATCTGTATAGCACAGGACGAATGGGTGGACAGAGGTAAGCGCTGACTGTCATCTGTGTAGCACAAGACGGATAGGTGGACAGAGGTAAGCACTGACTGTCATCTGTATAGCACAGGACGAATGGGTGGACAGAGGTAAGTGCTGACTGTCATCTGTGTAGCACAAGACGAATGGGTGGACAGAGGTAAGCGCTGACTGTCATCTGTGTAGCACAAGACGAATGGGTGGACAGAGGTAAGCGCTGACTGTCATCTGTGTAGCACAAGACGAATGGGTGGACAGAGGTAAGCGCTGACTGTCATCTGTGTAGCACAAGACGGATAGGTGGACAGAGGTAAGCACTGACTGTCATCTGTATAGCACAGGACGGATAGGTGGACAGAGGTAAGCGCTGACTGTCATCTGTGTAGCACAGGACGGATGGGTGGACAGAGGTAAGCGCTGACTGTCATCTGTGTAGCACAAGACGAATGGGTGGACAGAGGTAAGCGCTGACTGTCATCTGTGTAGCACAAGACGGATAGGTGGACAGAGGTAAGCACTGACTGTCATCTGTATAGCACAGGACGAATGGGTGGACAGAGGTAAGCGCTGACTGTCATCTGTGTAGCACAAGACGGATAGGTGGACAGAGGTAAGCACTGACTGTCATCTGTGTAGCACAGGACGAATGGGTGGACAGAGGTAAGCGCTGACTGTCATCTGTGTAGCACAAGATGATTGGGTGGACAGAGGTAAGCGCTGACTGTCATCTGTGTAGCACAAGACGGATGGGTGGACAGAGGTAAGCGCTGACTGTCATCTGTGCAGCACAGGACGAATGGGTGGACAGAGGTAAGCGCTGACTGTCATCTGTGTAGCACAAGACGAATGGGTGGACAGAGGTAAGTGCTGACTGTCATCTGTGCAGCACAGGACGAATGGGTGGACAGAGGTAAGCGCTGACTGTCATCTGTGTAGCACAAGACGGATGGGTGGACAGAGGTAAGCGCTGACTGTCATCTGTGTAGCACAAGACGAATGGGTGGACAGAGGTAAGCGCTGACTGTCATCTGTGTAGCACAGGACGAATGGGTGGACAGAGGTAAGCGCTGACTGTCACCTGTGTAGCACAGGACGGATAGGTGGACAGAGGTAAGCACTGACTGTCATCTGTATAGCACATGACCTGTAAGTAGTAAGCAGTTTGAGGTTTGAGTGTGTGGTTGTGTGATGTACATGTGTGATGTGTGAAATGTTTCAGATGGTGGCCTGTCAACTGAATACAGCATCTCCCAGTGCAGCAAGAGTGCCGACCTGCTCACCCCGGCCTACAGAGCCCACCTGGCCAAGATGGCTACTGTTTCAGCCCCTGTGCTGCAGCCAGCCACAGCATAGCAGTACCTGACTGCCACCTCCAGAAGGGCACGCTTGATGCACCACTCAACATACTTGAGGTCTCCCCAGCTGCTTGACCAGTGTCATGAAGCCTCCCCAGCTGCTTGACCAGTGTCCAGGATGATGAAGTGTGTATCTTATGCCCAGCTAAGGCAGAACTAGAAAAGTATTATTCTGAATCGAAAGCTAATTTTAGCTAATATTTTAAAACTGTAATTTACACAAAACTGCTCAATTTTATCTACAATTCTGCAAATATTTACTGGCAAAACTGTTTGGCATAAAGATGTAAGACATACCTTGATTATGTAAAGCAAATGTTAAACACTCTTTGTCATTAAGAAAAATATATGCAATAAGAAACTGTTTATCTGTAAAGAAGTACGCTGTGTTGAATTTTCAGCGATTTGTTAGTTGTGGTTCAGATTTATTGTTTGGTTGAGCTTGTTGCAAGAATAATTTTGTAGTTTCTACTAACAAGAATGCTAGTGAATATATGTAACTTTATTTTGGTAAAAAAACATTTACAAATATGTACAACGATGCGAATTTGGCAAATATTTATGTCTGTACAATTGCTGAAAAAGGATTAAAACTGATTTAGTTTTTAAGTAATTACACAGACCATGTGACAGTTACAGAGCTGGAAGCTTATAGTTTGTTGTTTTTGTTTTTTGTTCTGTGAAAAAAGTGAACATGATGTATTTATTGTCATACATTGGTACTAACACTGTCTCACATTGAATTTGTTATCCTATTATTTGGGTGTGCCACACCTTCTTATGATATCTGTTTTATGTGTTGAACTGCAATGAAATTGCACACTGCTGTGATACTGAAACACTGCTGGACTTGTGTTGGGCCATGGATCTACGTTCTATATACATACATCTGCTGTACTTCATGTGGTACAAACACTTGCTGGCAAAGATGGAGATACACTTCATCTGAAATTTAATCAAGTTGACTTAACTAAGGACTCACTATATTCTCCAAATAATGTTTTTTAAGTGATTTTATCTTTCTATGTCTTTATGAGAATAGAAGACCATGTACTCCAAGAGAAAATAAGCCTAATATGTAATATGTGTATATATTGTATGATGAGATTTGTTGGTGCAGGATTTGATTGGTAAGAGTTGGGTGACAGTTTAAATAAGGTCATGATCAACCTGTGGTCTCCTTGTATTTTAAACATATTTATAGCTCATTGTTTATTTTGATACTGCCCGGAAATGAAACAAATACAATGAACTGAGTTTACATCATGTCCTAGTGTTAAAGTTGTGTCAAGAGCTTGTGTTGCTTGTCAGAGTAGGCTATGTGGACTACCAGGGACACACTGTGCTGTATCAGATGTTTCACTGTCTGCTGTCTATCCATACATAGAACAGTTCCAGGCAGTTCAGGGAGCATGCTGTACATCTGATGTGAGTCAGATGAAGAACGGTATCGGCATCATTCCTTATGTGATAGTTTAACAACAAAATATTTTTGCAATTTACTGATCAGTTCAGTGCTTAATTGTCTTGTTTCTTTCTTATGAATTACATAAGGCTAAAAATAATAATGGTCTTGGTTCTCAGGTACCACCTGCATCATCATAAAGTCTGCCGCACTGCCATTTCCCCCCAAAATAAATAAATCCTAATACTTAAAAACAATGCAATCCAATATAGCACACAGTTACTTCCCTTTACATGCACACTGCTTCACTACGCATCTCGTGTTGTGGTCATGGTGGAAATATTTGGTTGTTTATTTGGTTGCATAAGACTTTGAACAAGCCCAAAAAAAACACCGCCTGCCCACACTATTTTTTCCAAAGTCGTTGCCTGAGAACCGATTTTTGATTTTTTTAAGGCTAACATATCTGTTTTTTTGCTGCATCTTGAAAATTATATGATAGGTTGTTGTAACAGCAACAATCCCATTGGAGTATCACAATGCACGCCTAGCGATGTGCTCCAAACATATCTCAAATGTGGTGAAAGGTATTCAGTGTTGATTTTGGAGCCATAATCTTATCTCACTTACATGATCTCATCAATATTTCACATAGCATTGAACTTCTCATGGTATTAACCTTGTCATAAAGGATTAAACAGCACAAGCGTATCTCATTTCTATGCACAAAGTGCAACCTGGTATTTAAATGTAGGTTAGAGTTTCTACCTCTTGTGATAGTTGAGGGAATCCTGTTTGACCTTGACCTGACAAATCCTCTGATCATTGCAATATTGATCTGCCAGTTTCTGTTCCTCCACTACTTCAGGGTACTGTGCTTCATGTTGTACATGTTGTACATAGTTCATGTTGTACATGTTGTACATAGTTCATGTTTTGTTTGTTGAAGCAATTATCAGGTCTGAGTTTTAAAAGGATCTTTGTCACAGGAATATATCATGCTGCTTGTTCTAGAGGTAACAGGGATGTGCAAATCCATGACCCAGGGGGAACAACTCTGTTTGTGATTTGACCAATGTATATATAGAATATTTGATGCATTATAGTCTTCACAAAGGCCTTTTTAAGGATACGTTGTTGGGGTAGATTCACTAGTTTACAAACGTTTACTGGAATGTTGGCCCATGACATTTGTACATGTAGCAAGGCTGTAAGACGTGTTTGTTTATTCTTTTGCTGTCTAATAACATTGTGCTCAGCAATGTTGAAAGCTGTCTGTAAATAATAGAGTCTGGACCAGACATCCAGTGATTGACATCATCACCATCGATCTACGCAATTGGGATACAATAACATGCATCAGCCAGGTCAGCAAGCCTGACCACCTGATCCCGTTTTTTAGTCACCTCTTACGACAAGCAATGTCGCCTTGTAAGACAAGCATGGTTTGCTGAAGACCTATTCTAGCCTAGTTCTTCACGAGTCTGCGAGATCTCAGAACCACAGGACAATGAAATGGCTGAACTTTGGTGCAAATGTTTGACACCAAATGCCAAATGTTGATGATCATTTTGTACTTCATTTAAGCATTTTGTGTACTTGTGTATTTTTATTGTAATTTTAGTTGGCTGTCTGCATGATGATGTTGAGTACTGAACACCCAGTACATATTCTGAATATCATATGCCGGGAACACATCACTTACAGGATAAGTTGATTCTGGCATGTTGCTACTAGAAGCAGCTGTACAACAAGCACAGCTTCAGTCTGAAACAGCTGTACAGTCCAAGAGTAACACATCATGTAGAAAAAGTTTTGTTTTCTTTTTACATCATTTGAATAAACAAAGGTAGACATGCATACTATTGTTTGAAACAGACACTCGTCTGTGTTAAGTTGGAAAGGACCTATTGTAGTGTTGTTTGTTGTCTGGTGAATGTGCCACACACCCAGTTTGTGCCATATTAAATGTTGCTTGGTATTTTAAGCCAGTATTACAGGACTTGACAGTTGTGGATGTTCAACTGTGTCCTCTAAGCCTTCTTACAGCATTATGGACCAAGCTTTGTAAGTATTACGTTGTGCCAGTACTCAGTGAGGGTAGATATTCCAAGGAGGCTCCGCCATGTAACTCACCAAGCATGGCAATGTATGTACTGTCCTCCTACCAGAACATGTAGCTTACTGGGAGTTACTGGTGGTTACTGATGTACTATCTGTTTGTTGTAGTAATAAATAAGCTTTATTATGGGCTTAGCTTTTGCTAAGACAAACTTGAGAAATATTTTCAATTATACATTAGCAGGACATATGGAACACAAGCTGTTTTTAGCTGATAAAAAGCGTTTTGAACATGCAGATGATGAGATGTGTTCAATGTGTGCTACCTAGGTTATTTATTATTTTATATGCCTAAAACAGAATTGAAAGGCTTTAGAATCAGTGTCTTAGTTTTTTTTAACCACAACAGTTGTATTGAAAAATGGCAGAGACAAGGAAAGATAGAGAACTGTATACCAAGTAGAGACTGAAAAGTGAACATCCTCTGGATTGGGATGATATGAGTTTGGCCAGCTAGTAGGTAGTGTACTCATAGACCTGGAGCATCTCTGTGCCCACGTATTAGCGTTGAGAAACTACAGAGATTTGTGTAGATCTTCTGTACAGAAAGTTAGATAACTATTGCTTGTTGTATTTCAAAACCAAGCTGTGAAAATGTATTGTGTCATCCTATTCTGGCTGACATATTTATTGAATATATGAATAGAAACATGTTATATTTCATTTATAATCATTGTTTGCTTTTTAGCAAATAAATTCAAAAGAAAGCATTCAAGTTTTTTCATTTATCATTTAGAATACATTGTTTAGCAAATTAATGTAATTGTGATGTGAACATGGCGACTGCCTAAATCCTCCACTTGGCAACTGCCTACATCCTGCACATGACGACTGCCTGCATTCTGCACATGATGACTGCCTACACCTGCACATGGTGGCTGCCTACATTCTGCACATGGCGACTACCTTCCATCCTGCACATGGTGACTGCCTACATCCTGCACATGGTGACTGCCTACATCCTGCACATGGTGACTATCTACATCCTGCTCATGGTGACTGTCTACATCCTGCACATGGCGACTGCTTACATCCTGCACATGGTGACTGACTACATCCTGCACATGGTGACTGCCTATCCAGCACATGGTGACTGCCTATCCTGCACGTGGTGACTGACTACATCCTGCACATGGGTACTGACCATCCTGCATATGGTGACTGCCTATCCTACACCTGGTGACTGCCTATCCTGCATATGGTGACTGCCTATCCAGCATATGGTGACTGCTTATCCTGCACATGGCAACTGCCTACATCCTGCACATGGCTACTGCCTACATCCTGCACATGGTGACTGCTTACATCCTGCACATGGTGACTGCCTATCCTGCACATGGCGACTGCCTACATCCTGCACATGGTGACTGCCTACATCCTGCACATGGCGACTGCTTACATCCTGCACATGGTGACTGACTACATCCTGCACATGGTGACTGCCTATCCAGCACATGGTGACTGCCTATCCTGCACGTGGTGACTGACTACATCCTGCACATGGGTACTGACCATCCTGCATATGGTGACTGCCTATCCTACACCTGGTGACTGCCTATCCTGCATATGGTGACTGCCTATCCAGCATATGGTGACTGCTTATCCTGCACATGGCAACTGCCTACATCCTGCACATGGCTACTGCCTACATCCTGCACATGGTGACTGCTTACATCCTGCACATGGTGACTGCCTATCCTGCACATGGCGACTGCCTACATCCTGCACATGGTGACTGCCTACATCCTGCACATGGCGACTGCCTACAACCAACACATGGTGACTCCATATTGAGAACAGGCAACTGCCTACATCCTGCACATGGTGACTGCCTATCCTGCACATGGTGACTATCTACATCCTGCACATGGTGACTGCCTACATCCTGCACATGGCGACTGCCTACAACCAACACATGGTGACTCCATATTGAGAACAGGCAACTGCCTGCATACAACCTGCCTACATTCTGCAAATCCGACTGCCTACCATCGAACCACTCATTTAGATACAATGACATGCATCAACCAGGTCAGCGAGCCTGACCACCCGATCCCGCAAGTTGCCTCCTGTGCCCCCATTTCACCACGACAACAAATATCCCGAATCACCCCGAATAGGATTTTTTCATGTTCGTAGATAAATCTCAATCATTTCTTGAAATTCATAAATGAATCTCATTTGATTCCCAAACATTCGCACAGCTTCGTAATCGATTCTTTTGGATTCTTGGCTATTATTAGCGATTCTTGGCTCCCAAAATGTATTGTCCTCAACCCGAAAACATCCCGAAACAGCTACGAATGTCCCGAGTCAACTGCGAATCATGTAAGAATTAAGTAAGAACAACATTTGGCATATTCGTAACTTAGTCGTAGGTGATTCTTACAACTCGTGCATGTTCCGTACATGAATCTTGCAATTCGTACATATGTTTCTTAACTCATTCCTGGCATTCTTCTTATTTTTCAACCCGATTAGCCACGAAAGTTTGCATTATTGGCCGAATCATCACGGTTTTCGAAAGTTTCCGATTCGGGGTTATTCGGGAAATTCATGGTCTTAGTGAAAGGCGGATGACGACCGATAAGCTTAGTCGCCTGTTACGGCAAACATGGGTTGCTGAAGACCTATTCTAGCCTGGATCACCAAGTCACTCGTGGATGTGGAGTTTAGAAACGCAACCGTCTGACGAGGTCTGTTGAATATTTTGATTTTACACAACATTTACCTTCAAGGGAGCTGATGTGGTGCCAGTAGTCGGTCATCTGTCTGCCTGCCTACTCCTCTGAAAGGCCTATACTATTAAACCAAAACTGTGATGGTTATCTCCTAAATGGCGACTCTAAACTCTGCTTGAAGAATTATGATCCAAATGTAACATCGCTGCCTTGGCATTTATCAATATCTGGTATGCCGAACAATATGTCGTACAATTTGTGACATATTTTAATTGTTTACCCGTCTTTTCTCTGCTCCTGTGTTGAGGGAGATTTTTTTATATATCTTGATTTATGAAACTAAAATATAGCATATAATCCGACCAATGGTGTCGTTGTGTTTCCAGTGCCACAGTGAAGTCTTTGATAGGCGTTAAGAAGTGGGAAGAACATGAATACATGACCCTTTTTTATGGATAGCAACTTCTTGTATTCTTTATCACGACGTTTCATTATTAATATAAGGCTTTAACTCAGCATTCACCTGATGAAGGAGTACGAAGTAGCTTTGAAACGTGACAAAGAATAAAAGAAGTTGCTATCCATAAACAAGTGGCATGCATAAATGCCACAGAGGCAGCCATTTATTTACGTATTTTGATGAAAGTGTAATATGCTGTATATCATGTGTTGAGTATTGTGATACTTGGCACAACTTCAACCTTAGACCTAGCTTCCACCCCCTTCACAGCCAGTACATCATGTGTCAGTGCTAAAATATGTACATGGAATGAGATGTACCCCATGGATAGGGTGTGTACCCAGGAACCTATGAACGTCATAGAAATTGTGTGGATGTAACCCATTCTCATTAAAATCAGATCTAAGTTCCCGCTACCGGTAAACAAAGATCTGAGGACATCCCATTACGGGTCCCAGAACGACCTTTCGCGAACTTTGAGCAACCACTGAAATGACAAACGTCAGCCAATTAGAAAGCAGCATTCTCGATCTTTACGGTACTCGTTTCAACCTGGCGACTTCCATTTCAGAATACGCTTGAAAAAAATGTTGGCACAGTTCTCGATTAAAATTTTGAAAACTTAACAAACGAACATTCCGGAATGTCTAATATATGGTTGAAATTGTATGACGGTACTTCCCATGTACTGTGCAACGACTCCTCCGTTCAAATGTTTGACCCACGCAAGCGAGAGATAAACGATAATTTTGACGGAATCAGTCGTACGGGCCGTAACTGTCGTTCGGAATACCCCGTGTTAACGTTTTCGAGGTTGCATGATGAGACTGTCACTTTCATCATCTGGTAAGCGACGCTTTGATTGGTTGGATGAAAGGTCATTCTGACGTAATGGGATGTCCTCAGATCTTTGTGATAGCGATAGCGAGAACTAAGATCTGATTTTAATGAGATTGGATGTAACCAGTTTTCTAATGATTGTGTGTCATTGTATGCCATGAGACCACTGGTTTGTTGGTGTAGACTCGTTTTTACGAGCCGCCATGATATAGATTTTTATAAGTCGTTTTTATTTGTTTTTGACACGCACTCAACTATATTCCAGTTACGTGAATCCAAAGGTGTGATCAATAATGAGTCGTGGCAATACAGCTTTTACAGCACAGTGCACTTATTCATTGAAGTGGCCTTCAGTCCGTCAAGCAGAATTTCTGCATACCGCGGTTCTTCATGTACTCCTTGAGTTTTATTGTTTGTTCCTGCGTAAAATTCTTCGTGATCAGTTGACTCTCGCGAATCTGACATGAAATAGTAAGTCCAGACGGGAGGTGACGTGAGACCAGCGTCTACAGCTACTCAGTAACACCAGCTCGTTGCTGGGTCATTGGAGAAAACACTGAACATGTGTTTAGATGTCGCTACCGCGGGAGAGGACGATGCAGTACGGCGTATCAACACATTGATCGTGGTGTTTCTGTCCTATCGCTGACTTGACTCGTCACCCCTTGTCATGCGTCCTCACGATTATCACCTAGGATTAACACGGATCATAATGTCAGAATCATATTTTAAGTATTTTTAGGCGAATGGCATATAGGCCATTCGGACAAAAATATTGTATTTGCGATGTAACTGCGTGTGTCACAGACTTCCCTCGCTCCCTAAAGTCGCAGCAAGGTATTGAGGCGTCAATGTCGCAGGACGGGAGTGAATATGGAGCTTTTGTCACGTTGGGATTCTGTCACAGTCGAGCGGTGAATAATAGTCGATTCCATGAGTGATTGTTGACATAAAAACCCAGCCTACCCAATCTCATTGAAATCAGATCTAAGTTCTCGCTGCCGCTAAACAAAGTTTAGCGATAGCGAGAACTAAGATCTGATTTAAATGAGATTGCACTTTCTGGTAAATGTGTCCAAATTCTAGACAGTGGTGGGATATGCCTTCAATGTTATTTGTCCTTATCCCATCGGGTTTCCAGGTCGGAATTGGTCGTCGGTTCTTCAGACAAGGGGATTGGGTGGTCTGTGGTTGGGCTGGCTTGTTATTGACGGCCGTGACTATAGCTGGGATAATGCTCAATGGTGCGGCGTTAAACAACATTCATTCACTCGTTCGTGTGTTATGTCACTTTGATCTTCAAGTTGCAGTGTAATGCTTTAATGAGATCAATCAGACCTGCAGTCGTATCAGCTGAGCTGTGGGGCCCAGCAGGGCTACATATATAGGTTACCTAATCACAAGGAAACTGTCTGTTGAATAACTTGCCCATTCGGGTTATGGAGACAATTATGTGTTTGTCGTAAGATTTCCAAGTACGGGAACGGGCTTTCAAAATTAATTAGTCTATTTACATAGTGAAACACAAGGGCCCGGCAATAATCGAGAACCGGGTTTCTGACTACTTGTCCCTGGGGTATCACTGTATTGTCAGTTGCTCCAACACTTCGGCAAGCAGGGTTAAAGTTACACGTTTTGTATCTATTTCTGTAGTTACATTTGACACAGTCAAATTTTCAAGACAATATGATATTTAATATCATATTAATCAATCTATGTGAGACATCCGTTAACAGTTTAGTTGGTGGCAGTGTTTAGTGCTCAAAACATGCACCCGAAAAAGCGGTTATAAAAACTAAAACATATGAAAGTACACGAACATTTCATAATGAGCGTACATCTAATATGCGTAAAGAGGCATGGTTCCAAGTGCCACGCTGATCCTGCAGCTTGAATAGTAGCAATTGGAGAATGATGTGTTGCAGTCTCGGATATTCATTCTCACGTTTATACACCTCGCTCAAACTATTAAACCTTTTATAAAAACGATTTTATTCTTAACTAGCGTTTCGTATTGAAGGCATATTCCAAATCCAACCATCAGAGTTTATTTATAATTTAATGTGTTTTCATTTTGAACATAAACATGGAAAACCTCTTAAGTTGAGAACATTTTTTTTCTATACAGTATCTGTCCCTTTGCACAAAGGTGAGAGAATGATTTTGCCAGGGAAAAAGACGCAACGGTATGGAAGCGTGTTAGTGCCACTGTCTAAAAACATTATCATCTAGGAAGATAATACTTTCATCTACGTAGATGATACTTACATCGACGTACATGAAACTTAAATCTCCGAATGTGATATTATAATCGTGCGTGTCGTTACTCAGACAGTGATATTGTCTTGTGATGTTGCGACTCTAGGTGGATACAAGTTGATACAAACATTTGTATTTTAAATAAAGGTGATTATTATTTACTGTAAATTTAAATATTTTTATCGGAGCATGTTGGTCGTTTTTATATATTCGGCATTTTCACAACATACTGAGATGTGTCAAACTGTCAAACTATCAGCGCTAAAATAAAAACACAAGCTGTGGAACTGTACCTTCATAGGATGATGACAAATATTGGTTTGATATAGTTTTTATAGTTTGAGAGATTCTCACCCCTTCATTGTCCCGTTTTACCTCTTAAACCTCATTTCTGTAATGAAGAAATCATGAGAATCAACATAATCGAGTGATTTTCCCAACTTCAACTGTGTTATGGTTGATGTATAATTTCGCTATAACTTTGAATAATGACCTACCGGTATATATATGTTTGTTCATAGTTTGTCTTCTCCTCTCTTCATGACGGTTGTAAGAGAGTGCGGCGTGCGGCATCCTTCAGTTACTTTAGACACATTGAAATAAGGATTAGCTTTATTTGATGTTTATATATTACCCCCAAAAAGGCATGTCAAGGTAGATTAAACCAAATCGATCATTATTAATTAAGTCAGATGTTATATATGACTGATCTGGAACTATTGTCGATTACTCGAGAAAATATTGTTACAAAAGTCGATACTTAGATAATAGATTATATTTTCTTCTACATAGGTTGTTATATCAAATACGTAGATGAAAATATCTTCCATGTAGTTGGGAGTAGTATCATCTGTGTAGATGATGTTTTAGACTGTGTCACTAATACGCTTTCATACAACGGAGTTGAATTTTTTTATTAACGATGATGACGGTCTCTATGGTTGCATATGAGCACCCGATGTCTGCACGCAGTCTCTTGTATGTCCAACTGTGCTCGTCACGGTCCGCTGGTCGTGAAGTCACTCGTGTTTACAGAAGGTCGTGACGTCACGGTTCAGTGTGGGCACAGATTTTCACAGTCTCCACACAGCGACATTCGTCCCGAGCGGAAATCAGAATGAAACTACAGCCGCAGTGGACCCATTCCAAGACAGACTACATTCGCTGTCTAAGCATGTAACGGGTTTAGGACGTGTAGAATTCATTGTTATCACCTTACATTCCGACGAACCCGCTGAGACTACCTACACACCCGACTGACAGTTTGTATGAACATAGGGCTAACTGTAGTTGAGTGTGTGTGTGTGTGTGTGTGTGTGTGTGTGTCTGTCTGTGTGTGTGTGTGTGTGTGTGTGTGTGTGTGTGTGTGTGTGTGTGTGTGTGTCTGTGTGTGTCTGTGTGTGTGTGTGTGTGTGTGTGTGTGTGTGTGTGTCTGTGTCTGTGTGTGTGTGTCTGTGTGTGTGTGTCTGTGTGTGTGTGTGTGTGTGTGTGTGTGTGTGTGTGTGTGTGTTCAATCGGCGTTAAGCCAAGCCCACTCACTTGTTCATGGTGTTAGTTGCCTACGTTGGCAGTTGTACATAATAGTATATATGACGAAGACACTATTGCACTTTGTGTAAGGCATTTCAAGTTCAATCAGTTCAAGCGAAAAAATATATTGTTCACTTTCAGTCCTAACATCAGTGTTTAATTCAAATTGCCGTTTGAGTCATTTGAACGTTGTTGCAGTAAGTCTGCGATAGAGACAGTGTAATTTTGGTCAATGCAGATTCGATGTGTTAATTCAGCGAAAGACCAATATATAGTACTGCGTCATAGAAACCGATCTCTGAGACAGAGACAAGTGATAATTACCGATATATAGGTGTTATTCTTCTGTCCGATATCATGTTCTTGTTGAACGATATTATGGTTTATTTAATTTCCGACGCAGTAATAATTTCAAGACATGATTACTCACACAAAACACCAAATACTGAAACTAATAATGTCTAATAGCCTATTTAAGTGTCAAGTTTCCCCAAGCAATGAAACAGCGGAAAAAGACTATTTTCAAATTTCCTTATGAAAATAATGTTCATTAGTTGCCTGAATCATTAGTGTGCACAGACACCATTGTTTCATGGATAGCTCCCATCATTTGTACATTCAAAATGAGACAACGCCTTTTTGTGATTTCCGCATGTGTGCAAGGTGAATTATTCTCACCGACTGCGAACGTCATTAGTCTCACAATGTCCTCCATGCTTACCAAGCAGGGGGAACGAGGCGAGCAGCAGCAGGATTGTATGCTAGAATCACAAGCCCGGCAACGCTGTGATGAATAGTGAGCCATAGCTAGCTAAAAATAACACGGCAGATCGCCAAGTGCTATTTATTGACATAAAAATACACAAAATAAATAACAACAAAACAAGATTTCCAGAATCACAGCAGAGATCAATACTATCTATTGTGATATCTACGAATGGAACAGTTTCATGTCTCTTTGTAAACCAAGCGTTACCACCTAGCGACTTACTTTCTTCATAGTTCACTTCAAAACATCACTTGTGATATATGTTCAGCATACATGTTTGTGATTATATTCTCTTTGTATAACAAGTCACTGTAATGTTGAAAATCTTGAATCTTAATGACAAGCAAGACGTCAGAGAAACGCCACCACCATTTCGAGGCAGCCGTCCCGATATAACACCGTCAGGATCTCTTGGCACATTTCAATGAACACTTTTAATGAGGTTTGATAACATTCTGATGGCTGATAAGTCACTTATGCTCTGTCTTGTCCACTCGAATTTCATTTCCTTATTTGGCTGATCCTGATTTCGTTAGCAGAATTTAACCGCTTTCCGCCAAACCTCCCCATAAACAGACGACCGTACCGTTTCTTCATGTCTGTGCCAATGGCTCCGTTGTATGGGACGTACTCACTTCTCTTGTAGGGGAAGTAGCCGAAGGTGTTGCTCATGCCGAGTGTCCCATATCGCTTGCCCAGGCTCAGTGGTCCAGACCCGCTCCCCATGCTTAGAGTGCCGTATCTCTTGCCTAAATTTAATGTGCCATACCTTTTTCCCAACTCCGACTCAGATAAAAGATCGCTCTCCTTGCCGATGTTGAGAGTCCCGTATCTCTTTCCCATGTCGCTGTATAGTCCTCCAAGGTTGAGTGTCCCGAACCTCTTACCCATGTTCGGGTCCCGGCTGCCTAAATAGCCTAAATAACGGTTGCCCAAGCCAAGCATACCGTAACGCTTGTTAAAGTAACTGCCCAGGTTAAGGGTTCCATATCGCTTACTGAGGCCCAAGCTTCCCCATCGCTTATCCAGTTCACCGTCCAGTTGGTCGTCGAGCCTCTTCCCCATATTACCAAGATTTAGAGTGCCAAACCTCTTCTCGGCCACATAATCAGACTTGGGTGGAACATATTTGGGTTTCTGGCCAAAGAACAACATTCCGTACCGCTTGTCATAAGCACGCATTGCCTCTTCCTCATGTTGTGGTCTGTCGCCATCTGTGACGATATCCAGTACGTCTCGAAGACATCGGACAGGGTCGTCAACACAGTTCTTACAGATTTCTAGGGCATCGGCGTCGCTGCAACATTCGCTTGGTGGAAGTGAAAGCGCCGCCGGGAGCTGTGCACACGCTATACAGATGGCAGCCACCCTCTGGTCCTCCTTACACCACCCTAAACCACCCATCTCATCCTCCTCATCATCATTATCATCATCCATCTCTGGGGCCTGCGTGACCTTGGCTGCCTCGCTGCTACGGGACTTGGCGTTGTCGGTGGCATGCACGGCCATCATGGACAGAAGGACCAGTAGAAACACGGACAGCCGCCTCATCTGAAAACAGAGGACACACTTAGAACATGTCAGTTCCAATGTGATTACATACCCCCAATCGCACCCTACGGGAATAGGGGCCGGATAGGTCCATAGTACATCATGCTTATCGCATCTGACTGATACGAGGACGCACTTGTAGGGATCCTAAATCGGGAGCACTGTGATGGGATAGATGGTTGCTCACTACCACTGACTAATGACAACATAGTATAAATGATCAAGGTAACTATCACAGTTGTAGCGACATTTCTGTGTACTCTTCACTGTACGATCGTAGACACTACACCATCACGTCTTTGCAATTGTGATAAAGAAGTTGATAATTCACACCATATATAATTAGTTGAATAGTCTAAATGCCACGCACTAGTTTCATTACTTGCATACCGCTGTGATGACAGCACCGTGAAATGATACACTGTTGTACAACTAGTATCCTGTCTGGTTCAGTCAGTCATGGCTATATAAACCTTAGATTAAAGTGACGTCTTTGGTACCATAAAGTCAAATTCTGATTAGTGTTCTAGCTAACAACGTGTCTCGAGTGTCCCTACTGTTTTCCCTGGTGTGCTGGCTGTGTGTAGGCTGTGTGCTGACTGCTGGTGCTACACCTGGCTGTATGCCTGGCAACACACGTACAAGTTCCGTACCAGGTTGGTCAAGAAATTAATTCTTTTCTAAACTCAAAACATGACTGAACAACACAAAACAGTAAAGGCTGGTCAAACAAGTCGCAGTTGTCAAAACACGTGCCTGATATCTCGTGCACGATTGATGTTACCAGTAAAACTTCGAATGTTGTCTGTGATCGGTTTTTGTCTTAGTGTATCAGCTAAACAAACTTAGGTCAAACTCAGGAATAGGCAGTTTGTTACATAGATCCATTCGTGTGTTACAATCTAGACTGGCCTGGTTGTGTGTACATCCTGCCAGTGTTGGGGGATCGGTTGTATTGTAATGTCTCTAACATCGACCAGCGTCTCCGCGACCTGACAAGGCGGTGGTGGCTGTAACCGAGGTCGATGCTGCCAAGATGTCAAGTTTGTTTCCTTCCCCAGTTCAGAATGTACAAGCGGACAATAATAAGCCGAACTTTTAAACGAAGTCAATTATAGAAACCAAATATCAAATCCTCATTTATTAATAGTAACGAGAAGGTTGCCGAAGTGTCTACATTTGATCAGTTGAGGCTACTTTTAGCCACAGAAAACAGACAATAGTCCAATACGCCTACGGACCACCGGCTTTTCAAATAGAGGCGATCCTGGTAAAAGCTCTGCTGCTTTCTTTACCCCAATGAAACCAATGATGACTTCACCATCTTTTGTATAGAGCCATTTAATTGTGTGTTTGTGCTTATTTCTGTCGCTCGGGTCTGCTTGTTTCTAGACATACGTCGATCACCACCGCTCACCGAAAATGGAAAAATCGTGTTCATTTGTAGAACCGGAAGTCGTCTGCGACAACAAATGACCTCCGCCTTTCTGCTAATTTATAACTTTTGTAAATGGGATTCAAGACAAATGAAGCCACTACCCTTCGTCCATTATTAAGACATATTTTCAGCTCAGTGGCTATGGCGGAAGTCGTGTTTCTACAAAGAGGCCCATTTCCGGAACTGGTTAAGGACCTTGATCATTGTTGATTGATAACAGTAAAACGTTTCTGTCAATTCTTTTTAGTATCTTATGAATTATGCTGCTCGCTTGATCTTGTGAGAGGCAGGTGGTGCGTGCGTGTGTGTGTGTGTGTGTGTGTGTGTGTGTGTGTGTGCGTGCGTGCGTGCGTGCGTGCGTGCGTGTGTGTGTGTGTGGGGGGGTTTACTAGGATTATAATTTAGGTTTGGTAGCAAATAATCTGTATGTGTGCAAGTATGTAGATGCTGGTCAATGGATGGCGGGTTCAGCAACATCATTTGTTATAATGTCAATACAAAATAATTCTTCAGGCCTTACTTTAAAAAATGAAAGTACTATAAAAGGTATTTTTATGCATCGTTTGCTATTGATTTTAAGGTTGCCTTTAATGTTTACCTTTTTTCAAACTAAAAACATCGAGGCATGATGAATGATTCAAAATAATATTAGCTAATAAATGAAATCTACACTATTTCGTATATATCATATATCAACACTCGTCGATAAGAGTGGCCAAACTCCGAAACTCTCATGTTGATATCACAAGACACTCTGGTGACATTCTCTCTATATATATATGCACAGACAGGGTTAACCACATCACCGATTACCAGGTCGATAGAAGTCCAAGGCGTTTCACGGTAGGAGAAACGTTTCATGTCTAACTGGTATATCCCTATTATTAGAATGGAATTATTTTGTCAAACAAAATGTATATTTCTTCTCTGTAGCAGCCTGTAGCAGATTGGGGTGATTTAGACAAGCCATGAATGTTCGATAAATTCGGCGTTAAGTAAGTCCTTCAAATGTCGATGATGTTGCTGGCATTCAAGATGCTGCATCAGCAGTACAAATCAATGCCGTTTTGCAGGGCCACCCTCGCTGCTCAACAGACTCCTGTCGCAGTGTCGTGCGGTAGATCTGCTCGCGGTGGTTATTGCATCAACCCCATGTGACGCTCGCAATTACCAAACTCAATCTTTTCATGAGACAAGCGGGCCTCAAGACCCCCGGGATCATCTGCAGGTTTCATAATACACCTGACAAATCTGTACAATTAGGCTGCCTGTGTTGTGTGCAATTATGTTCGTATTGAACAGGGTTATCTACCCTAGGGCCACACTTTAATTAACTCGGTCTGTCTTGCCCGACATAACCGCTCTCCTTCGCCTCTATGCCACTGGTGCTCCCGTCGCCCTCACAGCCCGCTTGATTGGTGGTGGCAGTGTGTGTGTGTGTGTGTGTGTGTGTGTGTGTGTGTGTGTGTGTGTGTGTGTGTGTGTGTGTGTGTGTGTGTGTGTGTGTGTGTGTGTGTGTGTGTGTGTGTGTGTGTGTGTGTGTGTGTGTGTGTGTGTGTGTGTAATCGGCGTGGGGGTGGGGGTGTGGTTGATTTGTGATTCGTGCCTATGTAACTGTAAGTAGAACGAATGCTTCGGTGCACACGGTGATATCTACGTTACATCCAGCTTCATGGCTTGAATTGAGAGACGGGTGACGAAGACGGCTACGGTGGGGCTCACTAATTATGCGTCACCACATCGTGTACATCGGTGCTCACTGTATCAACCACTGGTTTGTCTAACTCACACTCCTTGACTTGCACGTTTTCGTGATGAAGATAATATTATTCGAGTTTACTTTTGTATCGTTGATATTACATATAATATTTAGGAATACAAACGAGAGCATTTGGCGATCATAATACCATTTTTATGTTCCTATTATGTGATACTTTCGATACGGAAACACGAGGGTTTTAGGTTCTTCATCATATGATAGGTTTATGCCATATTGTCATTCACTAGAGTGATTTTAGAAACCGCATGGAATACAATGTCTAGGTGTATTATTGAGATTGGAAAGCACTACTTTCAGTTCCCGAAAGCATGACCCCTAGCAACACCGACTGATTGCTGACAAGATGGTGTGAACTCTGCACGGAGGGTCTTAGATCCTACACCAAGACGTCTTTGTAATTGTGCTAAACAAGTTGATAGTCTAATGGTCATATCATTAGTTGCTTAATCTAAATACCAAACACTTGTTTCATCATTTACTTGGCGCTGTGATATAGTACCGTGAGCTACACGCGTTATCCTCAGATTGCATTTTCGTTTATACATACTTTTATCAGTACGACAGTTCTACGACTTTCGCATATTAATACTATCGTGGATTCATGATATTTGGGGGCTTTGTTCGTGTTTGTAAGCAGTGCGTCTAGGTAAAACTGAGTCAGACAAAGTAACTGCCTATGTGACATAATGAGGTGAAACGTGGGTTTCTTTCTTGATTTGTCGTTGGTTTAATTCATCCTCCCCTGACAAATAGAAAGAAAAAGGCAATCTGAGCGTTCAAGCCTCGCACATTGCGCTAACGCGCTATGAGATATTTAATGTTCACCGAGTTTGGTTCGCCGCTTTTAACAGTGTGCTGGTTACAGCAGGGCTTCTTGTTGTGAGAGGAAAGTGATGCTGAACGGTCTGGGTATGTTCATCTCCTATCGACGTGTTCCACACGCGTATGCTCAAGTATGTCTTCTTATAATCAATACCATGTTGTTTCCCTCAGTTCGATCCACTATCACAGCCGCAAGGAGAACTATATATTCCCATAAATCTCCTATTCCTCATCTAATGATAGGTTGTTTGGGTCCTGACGCCCCCAGCGGACAGTAAATGGGTATTCCATTGTGGGACATTAATCCAACTTGTGGACTTCCAAACCTCCGAGGTCGCACCCTAATACCAGCTGAGCTGTTCCTCCAAATGTCAAGAAGTTGTATAACGGCAGCCCGCCAGAGATTGCCGGACGCTCTACTCAATCCACTTCTAATGGTATTGGTAACAAAAGCGATGGCATTTAGGAAGTAAAGCCGAACTAAACGTAATGCTTGTGTGAAAGAATACAAGAACTTACAGGTTTTTTCTCGCTCTAATTATCCCCTGGGCAGAGACAAGACGAGTATTCCAACTGACACACTAGTCTGAACTGATTCTAAATAGCAGCATGCGACTGAGACCGAGGTCTGTGCAAGTAGAGGAGATGTGGAGTCTGACGTTATATTACTCTCTCTCTCTCTCTCTCTCTCTCTCTCTCTGTAACAGGACAATTGGCGTCGTGTTGGTAGACAGCTCCTCAACATGTTTGTTCATCTACAACCACAAACGCGTGGTGACACTGCAAGTTCCAGCCGCTAGCCATCACATCCTTCGTGTCATCCCCAGCTTCAGACCTGATTCTAAGGAACAGTTATTAACCCAGGTAATACATCACTGATGGGAGCTGGCGCCTGGAGTGGCAATTGTAGAATCTATTCGACTGTAAATTAGATGCATTAGCTGAATAACTTAATAGTCTTATTGAATATTGTCAAGATAGGATGTGTTGCTTGATTAAAAGACCAATGCAGAGACAGTTAGACAGATAAGTTGAAATGATATTTATACTCGATGCTGCCACGGATGTTCTTGACTAACCGAGGTTCCCCTGAATGGAGTGAGTGAGGTTATATTTCAAGTCGTTATGTAAGGACGATGTCAAAGAGTGTAAAAAAGCACCAGCAACATTTACATCATAAATCATTTCCAGAGTATTGTATTTTAAAAAACCCATACTCGGAATATGAAAGGAAATCTGTAAGTCCTCATACACTAGGATTGTGATGAATATTTATATAACTGTATTCCAAAACCGTGTCAAGGTCTGTTCTCAAGTTTGTTGTTTAACGCCGCACTCAGCAATATTCCCGCTATATGAAGGCGGTCTGTAAATAATCACATGTAACAACACATGTAATCTAATTACCTTTGAACTAAGAGTCTAAAACTACGGATACAATCTATGTCTACATGTTGTATGTATACGGCATACTGACTGACCATTTCAACGTGAGCTTCTACTCGGGCAATACATCTTGTGAAGCTGCAGGTATTCGTGTGTTAACCGTGGCCATTTAGACATCAACAACAATGCTGCACGTGCTGTATCTACTCGTATGAGGGACAAATCAAGTACTATGCTCAAGGTGTGATTTCAGTCAGAAACAGATTATATTTTCTATGAGTGGTTGAAGATGTACACGAGTAGCTAACGATTATTAATGTTTTACCCACAACGAAAACCTGAAGCAAAATTATTTTTTAAAGAAATTTAAGAGAAGGCAAGAAATGAATGTATCCGTCATGAACGGGGGCGCTATTTTTCATATTAATAACAATGTTGTGAAGGTGGATATGTTTGGAGAATATATATACAATATATTTACCAACATACTGCCCAATGTTAACATGTGATTTAAGCGCACACCCAGTGTAGTAGTAGGAGGACTGACGTTAACACGCTCCTTTATAGAAACAATCTCTTGTCTTCTTTGACAAGTTATTTAATTCAAGTGTAAAATATGGCTTCAAAAGTTTCTCTTAGCCAGGTTTAGTCAATATGAGTGTTAAAGTTGTTTAGAAAACATACAATCGCATTAACGGTGAATATAATCTGTGTAGCGCCATTGAGTATTTCATATGTAGTTCGAAGTGCATATCGAAAAATCTCTTTCAAGATATATGTCGCTGATATTCGGCAGATATGGTTATTGAAATCCCCATCAGCACAACAGTGTTTTCATATAGCATCTCCCTTTGAATCATGTAAGTCTTAAAGAAAGTAACAAAGCGAGAGTTAATGACCTGAATCCGACTTATTTGGCCTGACAATTGTCAACTCAAAACCTATTCTCTCGATGTGCCGTCATAGTGTTAAACATGCTTGTATGCGGTGGTAGAATGTTTAGTCGTACATGAGACATTGTAGAAATGTAACTATCATCGTCGGGGGATTTGTATTCCTTTGCTTTGTACCAGGTGCCCGTTAAATTGATTATATCACAGTCGATACCCGGGACGGCACAACACTAATTATTGACAAAATGCCTTGCTATTTCCCAGTGTTCATACTGTTAGTTGCTGTGGTCGACGGATACACTGAATATGAAATACAAGACATTGGTCATATTAGCCGCAGTACATCAGCAGTGGGGACAGTGGTCACACCCAACACCAAGGTTTGATTCCTCCCACTTTCTCTCCCTGCGGTAACGGGGTAGGGTGGGGATAGTGTTAAATCAGTGTAAACTCATCCCCACAAGCAACGGGGACTATCACGGCACGCACCTTGGAAAGAAACAATATTAAATCGCGACTCCACCTTAATAATGGTATGAGATAATGTATCTAATAGTTCTAACTAACTTAGACGTGAGAACAGTCGCACTGTCACTGAATTTTTAGATGGTTGTGAGTAAGTAAGTAATGAAACCTACAACTTTGTGGATAACAACTTCTGGTTTATTGTATAAAGCGACGTTTCGATGTATCTTGTTACACCGTTATCAGGCTGGATAACGGGGTTAGAATCTTACGTCGAAACGTCGCTATGTATATTAAACCAGAAGTTGTTATCTTTAAAGTTATATGTTTCCTACTGTCACTGAAAGTGGCGTCATTCTTATAACGCCATAAAATGTAATTGAAAACATGACCATGGGTGACGAATACAAAGCCAGGCTCCGCCTGAGAATCAGTGAGTCAACTGTTCCTACCTTCCTGCTCGTGCTCTTCAGGACCCAGGTTGTGTGTGCATCCACTGAGGTGGTACCATGCGTTATAAACTGCGACTCCCAGCCTGTGATTGGCTGACTGCCCGCCCCCATCACAGTCCAGGTTTACTTGTCAATACTGGCTGCTGCTATTCTGTCAACTAGCAGCCCCCCATCTCTTGACGATGTACACAGACCTAGGCTAGGCAGCTTTTCCGTGTTATGTCAGACTCGGTTGTGTTTTTATTGATTTAAAGCAGTTGAAATCTCGCCTCCATTTCCGCCTCTTAACGGTTTGGTCAAACGATTGATGTTGATCTATCGTTGTGAGTTAATATTGTGTGAGCTGGCCCCCGTGCTAATGGCAGGGACACAATTTGAGGTCAGGATAACCCCCCACTCCATCCCCGCAGTTCCCCTGCACAGGACCGGTAGGCAGGCAACCCTACTTCCACCTGGACATGAGTGAGTGAGTGAGTGAGTGAGTGAGTGAGTGAGTGAATTGGGTTTGACGCCACTTTCAACAAAATTTCAGTGTTGGTGGTGTTTCAGCTTGGTGTGGAAAATCACTTTTGTGAAACCCACGAGAACGGAAATGGTGCTGTCAAAACTAGAACCATTATCAGGGAGGAAATTCGAGATTCCAACCCACGACAATAGGTTTCTTTACGCAAAAGAGACGCAGATATGTAAAGCCATTTGTGGATCTTAGACGACTGTGCCAGCAGTGCCCTTGACATGGTTGTGTGGAAAGGGCCCAGATAAGTAATTAACCTATTGTCGTTGAAAGACGGAAACAGATGAATGAATATGTTCTCACATTTGAGTGTGAATCAGATCCAGAGTAAGACTGTGGCATGTTTCTTATATATAAACTAAGCGGCAAAAGAAAGTATAAGTTGGCAATTTGTAATTTTCCTAAAAACAGCGATAACTAGTGGAAAGTGGGTATTGGGAATATTGGGAATATTGGGAATATGACTGCCCAGGCACCTTTGATAGCGCTCGTGCGGTGACAAAAAAATGGTGAAACAGGTTTTCCGCCTATGGCATAAACTTCACGTGCATGTTAGCTGTATAAATGCGTTCGTCTGCAGGGTATAACAACACGTGATGAAAGCACACAAAAGAAATGCCACGACTGTCAGGGGAGCAGAGAGAGAGAGCCATCGGTATGGCCGAAATAGAGGCAACACAGGTCCAAATTGCCAGAAGGAATGGTTGTACACCATTGACAGTAGCCAGGCTGATTCAACGGTACAGGCAGACAGGGAGGACAGGCTTCGAACCGGACGACCCCGAGTGACAACACCACTGGGAGACGGTCAGATACGGCTCATTCACCTGCGAAACAGATTCATAACAGCGACGGCGACGGCAGCAACAGCGTTCGGACATCCCATTAGCCAACGTACAGTACTACGACGACTTCGTGCTGCTGGAATCCGAGCGTATCGTCCTTTCCGAGGAATGGTACTGACTGCTCAACATCGACGCCTGAGACTGCGATGGGCGAGGCAGGTTCGACGCTGGCAAGTGAGAAATTGGCGTCGAGTGCTGTTTACGGATGAAAGTCGGTTTAACTTGTTTCGAAATGACGGCAGAGAACGAGTTTATCGACGCAGAGGGGAACGTATGGCTCCGGCGTGTATTCGAGAGGTCCATCCATTCGGCGGGGGAGGTGTCATGGTGTGGGGCGGTATTTGTGGAGATCAGAAGACTGATTTGGTGATTATACATGGAACACTGAACGCTGTGCAGTACAGAGACCAAGTGTTGCAGCCAGTTGTGCTTCCGTTCTTACAAAACCAACAACTGGGGACATTGTTTCAACACGACAATGCCAGGCCCCATACTGCAAGACTGACTCGGAACTTTCCATACCAGCAGAACGTTGACGCCTGCAAACTCACCCGATATGAATCCTATTGAACATCTGTGGGACCATCTTGACAGACGGATTAGAGCACGCCATCAGCCTCCCGTCAACAGACAAGAATTGCAGCAGGCCCTGAGAGGCGAGTGGCAACGGATTCCCGTCCACGTCATCAGAAGACTGACGTCATCGATGAGGCGGCGTACCACCAGCATGCATTGAGGCAGCTGGAGGTCATACACGGTTTTGAAGGCAACTGTGTCGACAATGAACTTGTAGTGTCTGACAATTTTTTGGTGACATTTCAGACAAATTTTGAAAATGAAATTTCTTACCCCACCATTGTTTTCCTTGAGCTTACATTACCTGTGATTGCACAATTTCATTCAAACTTTGGTTGATCAATCACAACAAAACCTCTTCTTGTTATTTTTTTATCGATCATGGAACTCGACCTATACTTTCTTTTGCCGCCCAGTTTATATGCTAGTTTTCCCTCTATCATCACCACAAGCGTAAGTCAAAATCAACGTTATAGGATAATTTCATCATGTTTAGAAATGCTGAACAAATAGTATTTTCCGCGAAATGTAAGAATTCGGTCAACTGTCGAACTCCCAATTCCCTGGAACCAGTATGTGATAGTCTGTAGTGGTTAGAAGACGCATGACTTACATGCAGTCCGACAAGATACAGGAGTAATGGCGCTGATGGCGGTCACTGGAGTAGTCCTATATACAGGTGTATAGTTTTATACAATTCAGAACTAAACGAACAAATATGAAACGAAATATTGCAGAGGAATTCTCTTGTAGATATGTCCTCGATGACTGGAAGGAGGCAGTCGGACACACTGCCCAGGACAACACTGTAGAAAGCTGTGATGGCGGTAAGCCCGAATATGTTACTGCACTTCAAGTGCACAGGTCCTGTCCAGTGTGGGGTTTTTTCACTACCTTTAAGCGGTTAATGTCATTCCACCCAATCTAAATCTTCATCCGGACCACCTGCTAACGTATAGGTGTCATGAAGTGCTTCTCTTGCAGATCTAAGCACGATGTGCTGATAACACCTGCTAACGTATATGTGTCATGAAGTGCTTCTCGCAGATGAAAGCACGATGTGCTGATAACACCTGCTAACGTGTAGTTGTCATGAAGTGCTCCTCGCAGATGAAAGCACGATGTGCTGATAACACCTGCTAACGTATAGGTGTCATGAAGTGCTCCTCGCAGATCTAAGCACGATGTGCTGATAACACCTGCTAACGTATAGGTGTCATGAAATGCTTCTTGCAGATCTACGCACGATGTGCTGATAACACCTGCTAACGTATATGTGTCATGAAGTGGTTCTCGCAGATCTAAGCACGATGTGATGATAACACCTGCTACATGTAGGTGTCATGAAGTGCTTCTCGCAGATCTAAGCACGATGTGCTGATAACACCTGCTAACGTATAGGTGTCATGAAGTGCTTCTCGCGGATCTAAGCACGATGTGCTGATAACACCTGCTAACGTATAGGTGTCACGAAGTGCTTCTTGCAGATTAAAGCACGATGTGCTGATAACACCTGATGACGTGTAGGTGTCATGAAGTGCTTCTCGCGGATCTAAGCACGATGTGCTGCTAACACCTGCTAACGTATAGGTGTCATTGAGTTGTTCTCGCAGATCTAAGCACGATGTGCTGATAACACCTGCTACATGTAGGTGTCATGAAGTGCCTCCCGCAGATCTAAGCACGATGTGCTGATAACACCTGCTAACGTATAGGTGTCAGGAAGTGCTTCTTGCAGATTAAAGCACGATGTGCTGATAACACCTGATGACGTGTAGGTGTCATGAAGTGCTTCTTGCGGATCTAAGCACGATGTGCTGCTAACACCTGCTAACGTATAGGTGTCATGAAGTGCTTCTCGCGGATCTAAGAACGATATGCTGATAACACCTGCTAACGTATAGGTGTCATTGAGTTGTTCTCGCAGATCTAAGCACGATGTGCTGATAACACCTGCTACATGTAGGTGTCGAATGCTTCTCGCAGATCTAAGCACGATGTGCTGATAACACCTGTTAACGTATAGGTGTCATGAAGTGCCTCACGCAGATCTAAGCACGATGTGCTGATAACACCTGCTATCGTATAGGTGTCATGAAGTGTTTCTCGCGGATCAAAGCACGATGTGCTGAAAGGATAACTATTTGATTTAACAATTACTTACAGATTAAACAGTGTAGCTGTGAACTTCTCTCTGGCAAACAATTCTGACGCTTTAGGGATGAACCACACCACATATTTCTATCCAACGAGATGTAGGTATGGCGGTAACGTACGCGATATTCACTAGATCAACCATTTAGTACGTTTTGAGATTGTGCATTAAGCTGGGTTGTTTAAAAAGCAGTTACACTATCATTAAATCATTGTGGCAAGAAGTATGGAAAGTTTTTAGTGACGGTTATACCTGGTATACACAAGTTATACAGATCATGCCCTTATCATAACTTTTTATGCGTATCTGTTTGTTCGCGCCGATGCAGGATTCTCAAAGTTAACCAAAGCATGGTCACTTACATCCACGACCAATTTACATTAAAGTTACTATTAAATTCTAAGCGTAGAGTTCAGCACTTAACACGACTTCCGTCAAAATCTCAATGTCTAGACCCTCTGCCGGTTCAACACTGCCACGTGACCGGACCGGAAGCAGTTATGGGGACAGGGCAGGACCACGTGACTGTGTCGGGGGTAGATGAAAGCCTGTGAAGTCTGTGTGTGAATAGTCTCATTAGAGAAGCCACGGAGCACTTTACAATCAATCTTCTCTCGTGTGACATACGCTCTGCATGTCTTCATGAAGCACAAATGGCATTTCAGTAGTCTTTCACGGGAACAGCTATCGCTGAAATTGTCAGAAAGTAACATATTTGTTGGGGTAATTGATCAATTATTATTAGTCTTTTTCTATTGGATATGACGTTTATCACATTCTTTTTTTACCAGACCCTAGTGTGCTATAAAAGATCTCCGCCGTCTGAAATGTTAATTGATTTTTGATATATATTCTTCAGACAGAAAACCAAACACCTTTCACGAGGACCTCAAACACATATATGGTTTATACAAACCGTCTTCTGTGGGTTTTGTTTATTAGAAGGGTATAGTGGACGAAATGGTTTGGGTTTTAACATCAAAGATGATCCTTTTATTCCTCACGCTAAATTCTTATCGTATGCTCCATACACCAAA